TCTTATTTTAACACAAGAACGTCTAGGTGACACAACAACGATATGTTAAATTAACACACGACTGTGTAAAAAATTTAACACAAATAATTTTAACGAAAGTACGAAATGTTTTTAACTGTGTATGAAAAAACTCGCAAATGCTTTCGTTCGCGCGATTATACGAACGGGGGGATCGCGAAGCTTTGAAGGAGCCGCGAATTGCGCGTCGGCACTCGTTAATCCGGCCTTTCGACAATTGTTCTCCTCGTTAGAAAATATGCGGCTCTCCGCGATGTCCGCGATGATCCGAGTTTTCGCGATATCGCGACGTTAACGGTCGGATTGATTGTGCAACGTCGTTGCGACACGCTTTGATCGTGTCGACACGACGACGGTAACTTCTACAATAGGCGGCACCAAACGACAGCGTTCGTCTGTACGATAGCCGGCCGGCTACCTGCGCGGCTAGACGTTGTTACCTAGCTGCTGGAGGATTGGGATTTACGGCTCGTAACCCAACGTCGTTACGACGCAGACTACGACAACGAGCAGGGCGTCGGCCTAGCGACACGCTCCAGTCGCGCGGAAGAGGACTCAGCTCTTGCGAGAGCGGATCCTTCGGCGATCCGTCGTCGAACTTTCCGCGTTTCGTCTCGCGTAAAAGAGTCAGTTACACACCGACGACCCCCGATTAAGTAATTCCAAGTACTTTCCTAACTCGGTCAACTAATTCTGCTCGTTCCCTCCCTAGATTATGGCTTTAAGCACGACGTAGGTGGAGAAAGTTAAGAAAGACGAGAGACGTAGCGACAGAAACAGCGACGCGTTTACGCGTCTCTTCCTCTCGCCCTTTCGCCCCTCGGCTGCCGCGCTCGTGAGTTCTCGCGAGAACGCAGTGTTCATGATTCATACCGTCCTTTTAGCCTCGGAGACTCGAGACTCACGTCGCTCGCTTCGTAGCGCGAAATTTATGCCGATGGTCTCGAAAGTGGAAGTTACTCGGGGCGGTCACGTGAAATTTGGAGAGACGTGTTGCTGCGGCGAGATACTCGTTGTTTAATTAATCGGGAATAAAAAATCAGGCTTCTTAATTTTGTCGTGAATTTAAGGTACCTCGTGAATTCCGACCGTATCCACGGCCGACATGGAAAGAAGGAAAAACAGAGGGGAAAGGGGAGAGAAAAAGAGAGAAAGAGACCGTCACGACGAGTTCGCGAGGTGCGTATCTGATCTTGGAAAGTAGGGAAGTTGATGGAGTTCGAACGGGGACCGAGCGGCTGAAAACTTGCTTCCGCACGCCGTTAACGACAATGGATCGCGGACAATGGTGAGCTTTGTGAACTTAAGCGAGCTGTGCGACTTAAGAAAAAAAATTCTTTTTTGCACTAAGCATGTGCCAAATTGTTTGTAGAAATATGTAGCGAAAGAATTTTTGTTTGTAGTAAAAAAATAAAAAAGCTACAGGAAGGGGGGGAAGAAGGGCCACCCGCAAAATTGGAGGACTGAGTTCAAACCAAGCTTGATAGAAGTCAAATCGTTTGTAGAAATATGTAGTAAAAGAATTTTCGTATGTAGTTGCTCAGAAAAAAAAGTTACAATCCCTGTAAGTAGCAGGGATAGAAACTCTAATTTCGCCCCCGGCGTGCGAGCTAATTTAAAACCGGTTCTAATCGATGCTAAAGGGTTTGTAGGAATATCTAGTGAAAGAATTTTCGTTTGTAGTTGCTCAGAAAAAAAATTACAATCCTTATAAGTAATTTCCCCCCCCCCCTGTTACTTAAGAAGGTTGTAACTCTTCTTCTGAATAACTACAAACGAAAATTTCTTCATTACATATTTCTACAAACCTTTTAGCATCGATGAGAGCCGATTTTAAGTTAGCTCACATGACAGAGTAAAAATAGCTACCCTTTTAGTACTTAGGGGTTTGTAACTTTTTTCTGAGCAACTACAAACGAAAATTCTTTCGCTACATATCTCTACAAACGATTTGGCTTCTTAGGCTTATTAAGCTTGGTTTGAGCTCAGCCCTCCAATTTTGCGGATGGCCCTTCTCCCTGCAGTTCTCCCTTCTCCCTTCTGTAGTTTTTTAATTTTTAATTTTTTATTACAAACAAAAATTCTTTCACTACCTCACATATCTCTACAATCAATTTGGCACATGTTTAGTGCAAAAAAGAATTTTCTTTTTTTAAGTCGCGAGCTAACTTCACAAAGCTGATGCGGCGTGTAAGCGACCCCGAGTGTCGTAACTTAGAAACGTCGCGCTACTCGAGCGGACGTTTGTCACGTCGCGTCGCGCGGATGCAACGGGGGCTTTTCGTGTACGCGACCCGCGACCCTCACCGAGGGTGAGCCGAGGGTCATTCTCTCCAGCCGAAACCGTGAGACGATGAAATTGCACGTTCGCCCCAGGGGGGATGGAAGAGCTCGCTTTTTTCGATATGGGGTCAACGGCGAGGGGACGAGGATCAGTCGCGGAAGGAGATTTCGTCCCCTCTGTCACGAGCTGCCATTGTGAGTCAATCGCGTCGGTGTTTTCTCCCTCTTAATAAAACGCGCGCCAGTCACGCGCGTTTTATTAAGATGACTGAGAAGAATCGCGGATCACGCGATGTCTTGCACTGACGCGCTTGAGGAATTCGTCTCGTGCCAAAACACCGAAATATAAATGTCATCGATGCAACTCGTGGCGCCCATCCGCTCGAGAGAAGGTTTACAGAAGGAGGGGGGGAGGGATTTATTCGCAAAGCTAGTTTATAAGAGGGGGGTTAAAAGTTTATAAAGTCGGTTTTCTATCTATATGAGGAAGTTCATTTAATCTAGCGCCGATAAACAGAGAGAGAGAGAGAGAGAGAGAGAGAGAGAGAGAGAGAGAGAGAGAGAGAGAGAAATTTATCTTAGCAACAATAACGTTCTTACCTCGTCGGCGACGACGACAACGATGCCTCTTACGCCCTCCATTTTACGACACCTCGTACGCCTCGGAAAGTGGAGCACTGGCGGCGGCTCTTCGATCACGATAAAGCTATGACTGTTCCGCGATTACGTCGAGAAAATTATACGTCGGCGATAATACGTCGCGCTACGCGCGGAGTCATGCGTGTGAAAGAACGATCGACGCCTCTCGCATGAGACTTGACGTTTCGCGTCGCGTCGCAGCGAATATCGCGCGGGATTTGCTCGCAAACAGCGAGCAAACGGTTACGACAGTCCAATTGCACGGGGGTAGCGAATATCGTAAAGCGCCGATCGTCGCGGACGTTTCATTTTGACGGGCCCGATACAGGGACGAAAATAAAGCGTCGTGTAAATCCGCGTCGCGCCGCGTATATTGCCTGTTCGTGGTGTCGCGCGGGTTCGCTCCGTCGGATCGTCGAAATGATCAGCTCCGCGCTTCGCGGATTCATCGTCGAACAATACGCGCGATGTGAGCCCCCGAGATTGACGGACTGCCGCCGTAAATGCCGAACTACCGATAAAGAATCCGCTATACACAATTTCCTCCGGCTCGTAGCTCGACCCGAAAAACGTCATTGCGCGCCTGTGGAGAAATTAAAAGTGTTATTGTTCGATTACAGTCACGCATTTTTTATGTTCTCTCTCGACGTTCACCGCAAACCCCTCGAAGCGATCTGTCATCTTCATCGCACGGAGAATGTGAAGACTTATCGAGAAGCGATTGACGTTAAAGTTGAGACGGGCGACGGCCCACCTTGATGACCTTAGACAAATATAATAACATTTGATCGCCGTAAAAATATCGCGAATTAGGAAAGAGAGAAAAAGAGAGCGTTCTTTTAAATGTCTACACCACCGGTCCTAGTTCCTGATTTGTCGAAAAAATGACGGGAGAAATAATTTTTTAAAAATACTTCTGACGCTATAAATATTTACAGAATCCCCTGGCGAGAAATATCTTCGCGAGAAGATAATAATCATTAGCTGCAGGCGCACACCGATAGAATACTCGCGCAGAGAAGGAAGTCAACGTCGCGAGAAGCGCGAAATACCTCCTCAGCCGCGATCGCGCGTGTCGTTACGACATCGGCATAAAAGGCGAGCGCTGTCGTCTGTAAGCGCGGCGGATTTTTCTTTCCTTCCCTCGACCGTTTACCGCGTTTTGCGCTAGCTGTGGAAACTGTACACGACGTACACCCGGCCAGCCAGCCAGCCAGTCGGTCCATCAGTCAGTCACCGGGGATCTCTCTAACTTTCGCGTCTCCGTACTCTTTACGAAGGAGAACCGACCGCGAGTCCCGTCGCGGTCTCAACGCGAAACCGCGAACGGTGTTTATAGCGGTCGTAAAAACGTACGCGTACATATACGAGCGATGAAGTATACGAGCGGGCTCGCTCTAAATCCACTTTATCGCCTCGGGCTTTTGAAACCGCGCTTCCATCGCGAAGTGTAAACCAAGAGTTGAACCGAGACGACCGACCACTCAGCGCGCTCACTCTCGCTGCGAGCGCGCGAATGGCGATTTCCCTTTGTCCAAGTTGACATTCGGTGTATCAATCTGCCGATGCTTCGTCGCCTCGACGTTCGACGAAACAAAGCGATTCTCATCTCACGTTCTCCTTCTTCTTCGCAGGCGCGAAACGTGAAAAGATTTTTCCTCCGCGCGCCGCAGCGTCGACTACAGCCGTCATCGAGATGTCTCTCACGTAACCAAGGGTCAAGCAGACACGTGGAGTGTTGGGGACGGCGAGGAGGTGGATGGGTGAAAAGTAAGATGCTGCAGAGGGACATTAGGGGCTATTCAGTAAGTCTTATGAAGCTTCGCTTAACGACGAGAAAATCGGCTGGGGAGATTCCCCATCGTTAGCTTGAAACTTCGCGTGTCTTCTTGCGAGATCAACCCGGACTTGCTGGCTCGGCAAATTATTGCTCGAAATTTCCACATCGGACTGCTGATGCCTCTATCGACGATGTCTCGACGTTCCTTCTGCCTTCCCTTTTTTATTTTAATCATACGCAAGAATGAGTGGAGAAGAAATGAGTACACATATGCGGCAGGTTTTCATAAAAATATCCGCTTTATTCATTCAACTTGGCTCCCTCTTCGCGTCCCATTCGGTGTATATACGCACGCATATAGTTAATGATAATAACAGGTATAACAGTGACGACAACGTGTGTACAATAGTAATAATAATGGTAATGTTGACCTTAGCACGAAATAATATCGCGCGGTATCGCGCGCGATAGTGAAAGAGGACACATATCGTTAGATAAAGTTCACCTTGCACCGCTTGGTCCGGTACAGCCAGCCGCTTCCCCTACGCTTCCCCTACGAGTAAGATTACGAGATGCGATACAAAATAAAAGAAAGTAGACAAAAGGAGAAAAGAAGAATATACCTCGAATGAGTTGTTCAACAAAATGAGATTCGCGTACATTCGAGGAGACTGAGTGAGCGCGTGTCATGGGAGAAGAAAACGCAATGGAAATGTTTCTCTAAATGCCTACGGAAAAACCGACTACGAAAGGGCACGTCGAAAATCGACGCGCTCGCTCACATTGGAATCGTGACATCGTGGAGCGCTAAGTACGCTAGATAAACTCTAAGTTCGCTCTATCGGATATAAATGTCTCACTAAAAAGAACGTCGCGCTAACGTCGGATTGAACGGTGGACGATGGCTCGCGCGGAAACGGAAGAGGTTCGAAAAAGAGAGAGATATTCGAAATCGAAAAGAAAAGATGCGCGACGATTCGATGATGCGAGGTCGATCCTCGTCATCATCCTCGTCGTCGCCGAACAATAGAGAATGGTTTCTGTCCTGTTAAACACGGATATAAATATAAATGTTTAGCCCAGCCTCGATTGTCGGTTGCGTACGCACGCGTTTGCAAACCGGGCTGGCCGTTTCTGCTTGCCCTTTCCGCGAAAACTCGGTGTTTCGAGACGCGCGATTATCAAGGTTTTCTGCGCTCGTTTCGGCGGTCGTTTGCCCGCTTCAATCCGCAGTGTAGCTTCGAACATCCGTAAGAAGACCCGGGCGCGCATTCGTCGTGTGACGAGTATCTCAGGTCGACCACGCGTGTACGTGTGTGATCGGGCCCGTCGCAAGCGCGATTAGGAGGAATCCGTCTTCTGATAGAGAATGATGTGCCGCTCCTCCGCTGTGGACGGCACTTTCCCGCTTAAAGGTCTCACCGCCCTCGGCACTTTGCTCACTTTACTGAAGTCCTTGGTGAGTCCGTTACCGGAAACGCTGGAAGAGGAACCGATGCGTCAGTGTTACCGTATGTAATCCTATTTCTTTTGGATACGATTAAAGCTTAGGGGTGACTCGAAAGCAGCAAGCACGAATCAGATCGATACGTACACGACGTCCATCCTGTCGTCGTCGTCGTCGTCGTCCAGCCGCACTTCATCGCTCGGCACTGTAAAATATGGATTCGTAGAGGCTGGTCGGAACTTGTATCCTGTCAGAACGAAGAACACGTAGGTCGCCATCTCGCGGAACGTTTCGTCCAGCCACTGATACTCAAACCTCACGGTGATCTGCGGGCAGTTAGCTCGTGAAAACGTGCGATTCGCGATCGTGTCGCGCAAGACTCGTCGAGGCACGATTTATTATGAGAGACACGTACCTTCAGTAGGTACATGATAATTCTGGTGAAATATATGTAGCAAACTATCATAATGTAGAAATGCTTGAACAGCTTGAGCTTGCGCAAAGTAATGGCCGCCTTGTCGCTCGTGCGGGCGGCCTCCTCCAGGTGCTTGATGCTCCACACCACCGGGAATATAATCGCGCCGCAACAAAGCAGATCGACGAGTATGAAAATGTCCCGCCAAGTCTGGTGCTCGAGATTGCCCACTTCGCTCTCTTCGATTATTATCTCGGCCACGTTCGCCAATACCTGAGGAAAAAAACAGAGAATGTTTTCGCACTGTCGAAATCATCGTATTTGTTTTCGATCTTATAGATAGGATGTTGGCCGAAACGACGTTAGAGAGGCCCGCTTTGCCGAAATTTTTACTTATTTTAGTATTAACTTATTTTAGTGTCAAATCCAAATAAGATCGAAGTAGAATAATTTCTTTCCGCTTGAAATAGCCAATTGAACACCTGCGACGCGTACTTGCAACGGTATGACGAGCATGAAGAACTTCTTCTCCTTGTCCGAGAGAATATGTTTTATAAAGGTCCATCCGGTGCCAACGAGCACCATGGTGATGAAGAGAACGGCGCCTTTCAGTAAATGAGAGATGTAGTATAAAATCGCCCATGCTTCAACGTGCTCGCCCTTGGTCTGGATGAAGTGGTAGTTTATACCGTGGAACAACAACGACAGGGACTTCAGGTACACCAAGACCGCCATTAAATAGTGGATCCTGAACACCGAGCGCCTGTGGGGGGTGGGGGGGGGGAGGGAGGAGAAAGAGCCAAGGCATAAATGATTGCGCTTCTATTCTCACCGTCACGTCGTTACACGCCGAGATTACCGCTTCCTTACTTGCTCTTGGCCAGAATAAACACCCAAAAGCAGCCCGACAGGAAGAAGAGGAGCGCCATCGTGAAGTACAACGCCGGCAGGGGCATCTCGCCCGCGCTGAGGAAGTTGTCGTTATTAATCTCCGCTATTTGCATCTACCACAGGAGAAATTCGTCCGTTTAGCGCGACGTTCTCACGCGTGCGCGCGCGCGCGTAGCCCCTAAATAAATCCTATCGATCGCCGCCGGCTAATCTCTCACCGTGAAGTCCACCGACAGCGGAGCCTCGTAATTGTAATTCAGGCAATTGTGAAAGTAAAGATTGTACAGGCCCTCCTCCTCCTCGTTAGCCACGTACATGACGAAGCTCGTGTTGTACGACTTCCTGCCGTTCGCGTGGTTGTTGACCATCATCGGCAGTTTCAGGCGGCAGCACGTGTTGCTCTTCGACCCGCCGCCGTTCGCATCATCGCCACTGATGGGCTTCGCGAGCTCTGCGCAAAAATTTTCTCTTGAGATCGCTGAAAAGATGAACGAAGGGTGGAGGATAACTCGGAATTCCGCGCGAAGAACAACTATATCCCGTTTCATCATCGTGGCCGAAACGTCGAGACGGTGGCGAGAATTTTTGTCCGACGACGCGCCAGCTTCCTCGGCTTCCTCGCCGAGGGGGGTTGACACCGATGTCCGGCGACGGACATACCGCGCGAAAAGACACTTACCTAACCGCACCTTTTCAAAATACCTGAGTTTCGCGTTATTTATAAGATCGGGGACGAGTCGCGGTAATTATAGCGTTCCTCATCTCTCTTTCTCTCGTTTGCTACGTTCGATCGGCGATGTCGCTTCAAGACCATCCGCGCGCGCGCGCGCGCGTCTGTCCGTCCGTCCGTCCGTCCGTCGCGTGCTTGTCATCGATCATCGTTTAAAAGCGTCCGCGCACGACGAACGCGCGAACTCGCGCCGCAAGTGCGCTTCTCGCGCGAGCTTATCAGCCATCGTGTCGTGCGGCGCTTTTCTTCGGGCGCGCACAGGGGAGTTGGCCTCTTCGATCAGCAGTCGGCGTAATCGCGCAACGTGAGAAATTCACGGTGAAAGGATCGCTTTACATTCGCGTTAGCGACCTACTTGACGAAGGCAGCCGCGCTCGTTAGCTCGTTAGCAGCGTCGCGCATGTTGGCGTCGTCAACATGCTGAACCGATCTTACGTGTCCTATCTGGTTTCATGTATCGTTGCTGGTAATTCACATTATTGCGTTATTGTACCTGTCAAATAACAGATACATCTCGCGCGCGCGCACACGTAATATATTCGCAAGGGTACATTTTATAATTGTACTTCATTTTCGAGAGTAAATTTCAACGTCGGTCATACAATACGCAACAGTGGTGACATTGTTACGGAAAATTTCGCGAGTACGACATGATAACAACGATGCGTGCGTGTTGAAGTTCACAAATAGAAAATGAAATTGTCAGCAGGATAAAAATTGACGATAATTGGCAGGCGAGCAACGAGTCGAGCGGTCGCGCCGGTCCCAGGAGGATCATCGGCCAAGTCTCCTCCAGCTCGCACCTGTTCTATCTGTTGCAGTTGTATTACATCTCTAATATTAGGCGTTGGAAGTGTCGAAAATATCTGGCGTATGCCGTGTGACGGTTTATTTTCGATATAGTCGAGCGGGGATATACGCATCGCTGATAACATTTACCAGAAGCCGTGTCCTATCCGCGGGATTTCGGTGCATCGCTCTATTCATAGCAATAGCGAACGCTGCTCTCTCTCTCTCTCTCTCTCTCTCTTTCTTTCTTTCTCTGTTTCTCCCCCCCCCCTCTCTCTCTCTCTCTCTCTCTCTCTCTTCTCGTCTCTTCCTCTCCCGCGAATCGGAATTTTTCGAAGAGGTCGCACGGCTCGGATCGATTGCGCAACGAAGCTGAGTGATACATCACGTCGCGCGCGGCCTATCTCATCGGCTAATTAACTCGCCTTTGCGAGCACATGCCAAATGTTGCACGCCCGAAGTTCACGCCCGTGAACGCGCCGCCCGATGCTGCGCGAATTGTGCAACATTGCGCATTTAAGTATAAACTCGCGCGTGCATACGTTGCGCGACGCGATGCGGGTGCGCGACATTGAGGAAATTCCGCGCGCTCGTGAATCCCGATATTCCTTCGCGATATTCACGCCCGCCGATTTATAACTCTTCGTGCATTCCACCGCGATGAATAAAAATACGTTGGCGCGCGCGCTCGCCCGCGCGAAACTCACCGTGCGACGTGTTGCGCTTCCTTCGCGGGAAGAGCGCGGTGTCGCTGAGTCGCGCCGGTAACGAGTCCCTCTTCGTACGGAATATCAGTATTCTGCTGGAATCTTTGTAAATGTGCGTAGTACGCACGTTGCGACTGCAGTTCACGTGCATCCTGCGACAGAAGTTGTTCGCGAATTAGTCCTAGACCCCCTCTCCCCCCCTTTCTCTCTCTCTCTCTCTCTCTCTCTCTCTCTCTCTCTCTCTCTCTCTTCTCTCTCTCTCTCTCTCTCTCTCTCTCTCTCTCTCTCTCTCATTTTCCGTCGTACTTTAAATGTCGTTGGTCTTTCTTTTTACTTTTTCTCTCCGCTTATTCTCCAAATTTGTTCGAACGAAATTCCAATCGAAAGGTAAAGCAGCGACGAGTCGAACCATTCGAATTGCAGTAATTTTTCTCTCGATGGAGTGAATCCTCTCTGAATGGTTCGGTGAATATTCTTGCCCGAAAGTGAAACGTCAATTTGACATGTACATCCTCGTTATCGGGACGAAATTATCTCAACCGGTTGAATCGTTTATTCGTATCGATGACGAGAATATATTTTTGCGGTATTGATCGGTAATTATTTCCAGTCGCGTTTTCGAGCGCGACTGCACTCTGAGATACTTCGAAGAATAAGCTTACACCAAATTCTTCAAATCCATCGTAAAATATATGATCGAGCTGTCGTCCCTCGGCTCCGTCCTCGGGGTCGTGGCGTTTTGCAGCAAACATCTCTCCAGATGATTGTAGATGTACGGATTGATCGCGTCGATGAGCGTTCGGTCGAGGCTGAATCCGAACTGCAATGAAAATGTCGAAACGCCTTTCTCACTAGATGCTCGAGAGAGCAAATTTCAACGAGTTTTTTAATCGTCCACTCCGGATCCGCAGTAATAGATCCAGGGTAATAGATTCCGGTCGGTTGCGGCGATGAAAATTCAGGTGCTCTTCCGCGAAAGGAAACAGTCCGCGCGCGAGAGAGAGAGAGAGAAAGAGAAAGACGCGGTCGCAGACGAGGCGACTGTAAATATGACACAATAAGAACAATGGGTGCTCTCAAGTGCCAGATGTAATCTACGGTTGACGGTGTGAACGAGTCATTCACACGAGTTTAACAGTTTCTATGATGCACAACGGGTGAACGCGCGCGCGTATTTATAAACCCGGGTGGCTCTCGGCGCTTTAGCGCGCGCGAGTGTCGAGGTGCAGGCGGCAGAAACAGGTGTCCGTAGGCTGCGGGGCAGCGACAGAGCGACGTGTGCATCGCGACGTGACATGCAACGTTGTGCGTAACTAGAGCTTAATTGATAACGGACTGTGCGACAGAACGAGCGAACAAGCGAGCTTTGAAATTCGACGCGTCCGACGTCCCTTGTATTTTTTTGGCATCGTCGTTTCCACGAGACGCGGCAGAAAATTACGATAGAAGAGAATCTCCTTCGCGGATTCATTCGTACGATCGACGCGAAAACCGCGGCGTTCGATACGCGGAATTCGATGATGTGACTCAGGCACCCTTAGAACCGATGGATTGAGTCTCGGAGATTGAGTAGTCGGATTTTTCAAGGGAATTTCTCGTGATTTCAAAATACGAATACGTTCACTGAAGTGAACGGATTCGTATTCCGGCGGAGACTCACCACAGCCTTGTCCGTCGTTTCCGACGTTAGCTTCTTATCGGGGTCTACCGACTGGAACTGGAAGTTCGTGAGATTTACGATGAGAATGCCGCCCTTGTAGAAGCCGAACGTAGTGAGGGCGATGTACGGTCGGTTATCTTTCTGAAATGCAAACATCGGATTTAACCTACGCCGTAAAGCCGCGCGCGTTGCCTTCTACACTGCGGGTGAAGGAGGAGGAGCGAAGGGTGAGGAGGGACGTGGGAGAGAAGCAAGGCACCGTTGCTCGCTGAACAATTTGCTCCGAGATCTACGGATTATGTGCGTCCTTCGGCTTTCACTTCGCACGGTCACGTCTGCGAAATGTTACGGCGCGTTGCTCCGCCGGATCGGTCGTGCGGATCGACCTGTACCAGTTTAACGATACGAGCACAACCGACCCGATAACGCCCATCGCGATTATTATTACGTAGGAATGATTTCGCGTCGACTTCGGAAAGAGAGCAAATCTCTTTCTCTCTTCCCCTCCTCTCTCTCTCTCTCTCTTTCTCTCTCTCTCCTCCCTCTCCTCTCTCTCTCTCTCCTCCCTCTCCTCTCTCTCTCTCTCCTCCCTCTCCTCTCTCTCTCTCTCTCTCTCTCTCTCTCTCCTTCTACCGTTACGTTGCAATCGTGATGATTCAATAAAATCCACTCTTGCGCAGCGACGGGTAACAACGATGAACTCTGAAGCGATCAGGAGAGACATTGCTATTGATATTTCGCGCCACACACCGCTCCTCGCAAGTCCCACGGGACGCGTGTGTGGAATTGCGAGCGTCCTTCGCTGTTCATTCCGCGGACTTGTTCCGCTTGTCATGCTGTGCGTGGTCGATCGTCGACGCCTTCGAAACGGCACGAACGGACGAACGAACGTACTCTTTCTTTCTCTCTCTCTCTCTCTCTCTCTCTCTCTCTCTCTCTCTCTCTCTCTCTCTCTCTCTCTCTCTCTCTCTCTCTCTCTCTCTCTCTCTCCCTCTCTCTCCGTCGTCCGTCACTTTCTCGCTCGTCGCTCTCTCCGTCCATCGGATCGCGATTGATCGGCTCGCGACTTTTCAACAGTTGCCATATATACTTAATGTACCGACGGATTAATTAATCGCGCGCTCGGAGCGGCGAGAGGGGTGGGTGCAGGGAGGAGCGGAGGGTTAGAATCGCGCGACGTGCGAAGGGTCGGATCGAAGTGCGAGTGTCCGTCCCGTGAGCGACTACCACCGACCCGTATGTCCAGCTTGTGGATCCTCGCGCTCGCTGCGGCCACCATCAGCAGCAGAAGCAGCAGGCAACGCGCCAACGCGATCGCGTTCGGCTGCATTTTCGGCTGCTCGCACTCCGGCCGCCTTTTCGCTCCGGCTTTCTCGCCGATCACATATCACCACCAACTAGCGGCTCTGTCTCGCGCGCGCGCATACACACCACCTTCACAAGTCCAACCACCTTCGTCCTCGCTCGTCGATACGCGAGCAGGAACTGAGCCGCCAGCAGGCGCCAGGACGCCGGAAGCGTCGGAACACCGCGAACGCGAACCGTGTGTACCAGTGTGTACTCACCGCGCGACGAACGCGGGGAACGCGCGAAACGGACCGAGAACCCGTGGACTTCCCGTGTACGTAGGTTGCGCCTTCTGACGAGAGGCTCGAAGACAAGATGCGAGGCTCAGCTGGATATCGATCATATCGTCTTTCCGTTAGCCGAACTCGTGAAGACTGGAAAGTTTCATGGATGAGTTCGTTATTCATTAATGATACTTTACAATGTTCATGAGTTCACATTAGGGGAAAAGATACACGATCGGGACTCTGTATTCCTCTCCTATAGGCGCGTCGTCTTCATCCAGTTTCCTCCAATATGGATCAAGCTAGATTAATAAGCGCATGACGCGATAATTTTTTTTCCGATATCATTCCCGTGGTCTCTCGTGAGGCGCTCGGTCTGCGTGTACGAGTCTGCGGCCAGACCACACCGGGTCGTGTTGTGAACCTTATCGCCCGTGTCGTTGTGACGATGTCGCGCGAAATTCCATCTCAGTGCAATGGGCTCCCGACTTGGGATCTGCTCGAGTCTCCTCAAGAATCCTACCGACCGCGCGACAAGTCTCGGGTACGTTTCACTGCGTGGAGAAAATGTCTCGTTGACAGCAACGTGCTCCAACCATGGCCGGGTGTCTTCAGGGCCGGCCACGTGTTCTCGGCGCACTTGCCTCGTGCGCATTCGGAGCCGCGCGTTTCTGCACCTTCTGCACTCGAAAACGGTTGTATTAATGCATTTAGGAGGAGGGGGGGTTGCGAGTGCAAATAGTGTAGCTGAGCATCAGATCAACTAAGGAACCCATATGTTTTTCTGGAAGTCGGTAAAGAAAAATCGATTGGGTGAAAATGATTTTGAGATGTCTTGGTAGCTCTTGTGAATAGGCGAGTTTTGGCGATCCTTTGGCACATGTACCAAAGTATATCAAACTGTACCAGGGATGTGTTTGGTACTGTGTGGTAGAGGCGTTTTTATATAACTTTGGTTGATACCATGCTATACCTTGCTCGAGAGCAGGATAGTTTTTCAAAGTCTCTGATACGTAGCAAATGCGCGCCAAATATAATGTCTATTAGGTTGGAGTTACTTTTTAACTGTTTGGAAGTCGCGCGTAAATAGCAAAGAACCATATCATTGGTTGCGTTCCGATATTCATTGCCAATTCTGTGGTATAGCACTGAAATTCTATAGTATACGTGACACAAACTATATATTTTCAGTACTGAATTTCGGGACGCAGTCATTTTTGTGTTCGCAGTACACTGGAAAGCCAAACAGTTTCGACAGTTTTTTTTTTTCTAGTGAAATGAGTAACCCATATAATTGTAAATTTGAGAATAACTTGTACGAGAGAGAGAGAGGGGGGGGGGAGAGACCCGCGATCTTTTGTGTTTGTACGTATACCAAAGGATCGCCAAAAATCGCCGATAAATATATAGAAAAGGGTATATCTCACCGATTTTTTTCATTTTGAAATATGTTATAAAGGATGAAATTCTGAATGACTTTTTCTGATACAACTATATGGGGGTCGCTTATAGTTTCCGAGATATTTGACTTTAAAGTTTTGGAATTTTGATGTTAAATTCCATTCATATCATAAGCTGACGTTATTTACAGTACAATGCGAACAGTTAATCCAAACATAGTATATACATAGAAATATAGGAAACAGTACATATAAGCAGGAGGGGAAAATCCTAACCTAACCTAACTTATTGCATCTTTATATATTGTTGGGCGATGTTGAAAAGATTTCCTTAAAAGCCACCTAATTACATGCAGATATTATAATAAATTAAGATATTATAATAAATTAATTGAGCTAGGTGATAAAATATATAAAGATGCAATAAGTTAGGTTAGGTTAGGATTTGTTTGGGGAGGGGTGCGGGGGAGGGCCGGAGCCACTCTCCCGCTTATATGTACTATTTCCTATAAAGTGAATGAAAACTGCTTTTCTACTTTAAATATACCTCAACGTGCAATTATAATACTTTAAAGTCAAATATCTCAGAAACTATAAGCGACCCCCATATAATTGTATTAGGAAAAGTCACTCAGAATTTCATCCTTTATAATATATTTCAAAATGAAAAAAAGGTGTACCCTTTTCTATATATTTTCCAAATCGCCTAATATTGAGAAAATAGTTTGAGGAAATGGCTCGATGCAATTTTCCGTGAGAACACGAACAATCAATTAGCGCATCGAAGAAACGAAAAAGTGTGATGAGAGAAATGATTTGCAACGTTGAGACTTTATCGAACACGCGAAATGCGACTATTAGTTTGTCCTTTTTCGAAGAACCTCCTGAACTGGTGCACATTGGTGCAATAAGTTAGAGTGAACAAAATCGACTTGTCTCACTCTAATTTATTGCACCAGTGTGCACTACATAATTCAGCAAGCACTTCGAAGGAAGAGAACAAACCTATGTCGCAGTACGATGAACGTTTAGTAAGTTGCACCGACGAGAAACCTGGCGGCTCGTCTCAGTCGATGTTTTAGTTGTATCTTTAAATCAAAGAGGGCTGAGAAAGCACGCGTCGCTCGTGTTCCATCTATGGTCTGTTCTTTTCAGCTGCACTGCGGAACTAGTGCAATAAGTTAGAATGAGACAACTATATTTTTTCTCACTTTAACTTATTGCACCAGTTTAGTGGTGCAGCTAAAAAGAACAGACCACTAGTCCCGACTCGATTGCTCGCGCGTTGATCCCGCTTACACGTTCGACACATCTTGCTCCAGCCAGCGAAGATTTCTTAGTCAAGATCACGCATACATCACGCGGTATGAGTAGAGAAACATCAGGTAAATCGCGCCTGTGTGAACGAATTTATCTGAAACGCACGCTCCGTTTCGCAGGACAAAGCTGGCGAGCGTAGCGCAAATGTCGAATGTAGTTTCCTCGTTGCAGCTTGAAGGTTATGTGACAGATCGCTTTATTTTTTTTCTCAGGAGGCCCCTCTGCTCTTATTTGATAAGACAGACTTTCAGCACTTCGCTCGGATCACCTACGACTTACCTGACGATATTCAGTTGAAAGCATCGGTTAACGACTTTCGCGTTAACGATAAAAACTGTCACTACGACTGGTCCAATTGGTACGGACATATCAACACAAGTGTATCCGCGGAATTATATCCACAGGCAAAACTGGCCAAGACAAACCAGCGGCAACTGTTCCGCAAGGATATGTCCGAAGAAAGCGCCGATCCCTTTAGGTATTATTCGACTCGTTAGATCTGTTCGCACGTTACCACGGATTGCGGTGGTAAATTAACGTCGCTGTTGGCTCTATACGGTAAATGTTCATTCTCTCTTGTTGGGTTATTCTTGACGTTACATGTAATTAATGAAGAATTGCTCGGAGGATCATTTGCATTTACATACGTAGGCAGTCTGAAAAGTTCTCGACTTGACATATACATGTCGTTAGAAACTGTCAAACTATAAATGTATTGGAAAGTGGCATCCCTGATATAAACCCATGTAAAATTTCATTCGATTTGTCAAGTCATTCGAGTAGTAGCATCAGTTGAAAAAACTTTGTGCAAGATGGGTGCCGCATTTACTAACAATTGACTAAAAACGCATTTGAATGCGTATTTCTCAAGCGTGTTTGGATCGTTTTAAGCAAAATAAAAGGGATTTCGAGCGTCGTTTCATAACTGTTGATGAAACTTGGATCCTTCACTATACACCAGAGCGAAAAGAACCTTCCGGAATCATACTTTAATGATGATATTGAATTATTGGAAAAACGTTGGAATAAATATATTGAAGTTTCAGGAAATTATATTGAAAAATAAAACATATTTCACGGCAAAAGAAATTTTCTTTCATTGTTAGGCCGAGAACTTTTCAGACTGCCCTCGTATAATACAGAATGAAAATCCTCGGACGAGTATGCTCAGGAGGAAAATTATTTCTTCGAACTTCGGGTAGAAATGCAAAGGGTTAACAGGGACAAGATAAAAAATTTACTTTGATCATTCAACGGATGAACGTTCCGATCTTGAGCATCCGATAGGCTAATGCGCGCGGTTAATGGCCAAAGAACACTAAAACGTCTTCAGATGTCGCTAACCAAGTGTTTCCTTGTCAGCAGCGAAACGATCGAACGGAACATTGCGGAATACTTAGAGAAAGAAGTGTGTTTCGATGATAACGATGAAATACCGGTCTACAACGACTCGGCGAACCACATGGAAGTGGAGGAGTCCCACTTTGTAGAAAAGGATATCGTGCAGGAGGATCCCGTGGCAGATTCCCCAGAGAAAGATTCTTCAGAGGAAGATGCCACAGATGAGGAGGTACTGGAGATACTGGACAGGCAGCCAAAGAGCTATGAGCAAGTGAAGGAGGGTCTTCGATCACTTGTTCCGAAACGTCCGACGACAATGAGGGTCAACTCCGGCCACTACGCGGGCTTTAAACTGCTCTTCTCTCTGGTAGTTTCATTATGCGTAATCCTCATTTCTTTCATGGCTCGGGAACAGAGTTATCAGCACAGTACCCTTTTCGCAAACGTCACGGTCGAGCTGAAGAAACGAGTGTACGGTCAGGACCGAGCCATGCAAGCTGTGGGGGATTACCTTCGGCTGGACGAGCCCACTTTGAAGATAATCGCTCTCGTGGGCGGCACAGGCGTCGGCAAATCTTACACGGTCTCGATCGTAGAGAGTAATTTCCCGAAATACTCTGTCCGCCGATATTTCTCGCCGATCAGCATGACCATGAACAACGTCAGCTTTTCGTTCTTGTACCCGAAACTAATTGTCTTAGAGAATCTGAAAGAGCACGACTTGCCGGACGTTGTGAATTTCTTGAAGACGCGCGAGCAAGTGGACGTCAATCAGTACATCACCGTGTTGGCTGTGTTCAACGTCGAGCACATGGACAACGATTCAATACGTACGATAGATCTCGATCGGAGCACGGAGGCGATAAGGAATTCCTTCGCCGGCGAAAATCTCGACGTCAAAGTCATCGTTTACGAGCCTTTGAGTGAAGATGTTCTCGAGAAGTGCATCGCCGACGCGGCGCGTGATAGCAAAGTGACGCTTTCCAACGGAGATGTTGAGTTCCTCAAGAAACACTTGGCGATTAATAACGCTGGTTGCAAAGGAGCCTACAGGAAGGTTCAGGTTATCGGTAGAAAATAAAAGGGATGATCTTGGGCGCGAGTCGTTTGAAGGCGCGAAAATATTAAAATATTATATATTAAAGAACGACTACGACTGACGCGAGAATACTTTTTTCACAACGTCGCGAAAATATCCATATATATGTAACTTTTATCGTTCACACATATTGTTATTCTTTTTTCAACATATTCCGACGACATTGAGACTACGAATAGTTCCTATCGCGAGCGAGCGCGTATATGATCTCCTCCAGGGCGCGTGAATGATCTCCTCTTCGAGGCATGTTTCCGCACGCCCATTTGATCAGTTCGCCGCTCGGATTTGCTGATTTCTGATTCGAGGAATAATTTCCCGATAATTAACGTCGCGAGAATGGGACGTGCCAGCGGCCGCTGATTCAATTTCGCGGTGAAAGCACAGAACTCTCGCACACGTAAGTGTCACGGTATGTTAGTAAGAAGCGCGCAATGAAATTTCTACGCGCGTCGCATCGCTTCCGGATCATCGCAGGGCGGACGTGCCTCTCGGTACGATTCTCCGCAGGAGATAATGATCACGGGGTGCGTTCGGCGCGTATCCGGCGAAACCCGGTAATCGGCGTGATGCGATCACGCGCGGTTAGACGAAGTCGACGTTGATTGGGACTCCTGGATTAGGAAATGTAACATTCAGAAAAGCTAGGAAAACTCTGTCCTCATCCACCTGTGCAATCGTGCTTGGAACCGATGGCGACGATGCGAGTGACTGCGGTGCGTTGCGTTGCGTGTGGTTAGCTTCATAATGACACGTGATCGAAGCGTAAGCGTTACAACCGTCGTGTTACGTTGTTATCCGGCGATCGTTCTTACGCAAGGAAGAAGAACCGTTCAATCGTGTAGTTTTTTATCTTCCCTCTTCGTAATAATCACAATAAGTGATTGGAACGAATAAGTTTAACTTGCGAAGTCCACCTTTCGGAGATCGGACGAGCGAGCAGTCGAGAGAATTATATTATATTTTTAAGATATACGACGTATATTCACATATATTTTCTACATGCATATGTGTATTCTTCATACACACATGTATTTAAAAATAGGTATTTAAAAATATTTGAGACGTGAAAATATAATTCTTTAATCGTGGATCGGCGAAAGTGGACTCAAGAAGCGAAAGATGTGAAATCGGTTAAGCGACGCATTGACTGATCATCTGATTGTTATAGATCTAAAGAAGATCCAAGTGCCAAAAATGCGATTAACTCAAAGTTAATGTTTTGTTCGTACTCGAAGTGCCGTGAACATTGGTAAATAGCGTACAATCTTGTTGAGTATATGCAGATCATATGTGGGTTTCTATTTATTTTTTATTTTTTTTTCTAATTCTAGGTTAAATTTCTGCGTGATATAACGAGCTTCCGAGTTCCGATTTCTTGAAAACCACGTTGCTCAATTTTGCTCTTTCTTTAAGTTGTAAGTGATACATCGTAATTAACGGAACAAAGACGCCCTACCTATAGTTTTATATATTCGTAAATCTTTTCAATAAAATTTTTTTTATATTGAGACGTAAATTTTCCGGCGACTTATTTCACGACAATGCTTACTTCTATTCAAGCAGAAGCGCTCGCATCTTCTGCGATCGTATTTAAACGATGAGCGCGAACATGACTCGAGTATTTTGCAGCTCAATTTTGCGGTGGTATTCACGAATCCGTTTCTAGAAAGCGGGATTTCCTCCATTGCGCGAATGTCGTCTGTATTTTATATCCATGTTAATCTGTTCGTAATCCCTTCAATCAGCGTTATGCGATATCTTCTCGTGGCGTAATATAAAGACAGATCAATTAGTGTTGAAACGTCAACCCGGTGCGCGTATACTCACTGTTACGCGCTTCGAGGATAAAAAATATCGCTTATTTGCCTATTACGTGCGCAAATGATGCAACCGGTCAGAAGTTACGTCTCGTCCTGTAACGCTCAAAGACCCCACGCATTACACCGCGCACTTCCAATTTCTATCCGTTATTCCGCTTCCTCGATTGTCCCGTCGGCAAACAGAGAAAGTCCGCGTATTCCCGAAAACGATCGCTTTATCGTGGCGATATCTCTAGTCTCTTCCGTAAAAAGAAAAAGGGAGCTTGGAGGCGAGCTCTCTTTCTCTCAGTCGCTCTGCAGGAGACTTTTACCCGACGATTCTATTTTTTCGACGACGATTCTTTTTAACTACTCTCATTAAGGTTACGATGATACGGACATCCTGCATGTTTTGCAACTCTTGGCGCTGCGCGAAGCTGCGAATCTTAGCGATTATTTTCAGCTTGGTTACACCCGAGTGTCAGCTTACATCCGTTTTGACGACACATCGAATAATCTCTCCTTTGGTTCAAGGATACCTCCGGTGGCGTCGACTTTACGGTTAGTATCGACATAACAATATACCCTTCTGCGTCTATTGATACTTTTTACTCAAAATTCTAATAAACGACATGTTTTTTTGTTAATCTCCGTAGGCAATACGTGAGCGAATAACTCTTCCGTCTCGTACAAACGTAAAGCTGTCGAAATCATGGCTGATATGAAATATCTGAAATATCTTGAAAAAAGGCTGTTTCACACCTTGAAACTGCGAGCTGAAAATTGCATATTCTTTATCTGTATCAAGGCTATAATGTATTGCCAGTTCACTAAAATCGGAAGAGGAGGGTCACTTCCGCAATTTTCTTTGTTAATATCAGTCTCGTATGCGATTGAATCGGACGATGTGCGCCTCCTTAAGCATCGTCGTTCGCGTCGATGTCCGCTGTCGGCGCGAGAATCGCTCGCTTGATACTTATTTGCCCGCTAAACCAATTAAAAAGTGCGGACATAAAATTTCCTTTACCGATCGCGACCGAGACGATAACGAATATTGCCAGAATAACTCGACGAATCGGGAACTTATGTAAGGCGAAACAACGTACTGCTCTTGAAATGACATTTTTGAACGAATTCTAAGACAATTTTTCCTCTTGCAAAATGTTAGCCGAAACTCAGTTTTCAAATTATAAAGATAAGTAGCCTATTACAGGTTAACTTCGTGAAATATGTGCTTTTAGCAGATAACATTTATCCAACAGAGTAACGTTGTGTAATACACAAATCTTTTGATAGCTATTACATTTTCCACAAAGATGATGCAAAACAGCAACAAATTCTTTCTTTATAATGCCGTAACAAAAATATATTATATAGTTGAACAAAAAACAAATAAGCAAAGAAATATGAGAAAAATATTGATATTGAGAAAAATGTTAAACATAGCGATGTACACATATAAACTTGCAGTCATGTCATGAACCAATGCACTATTGTATTGAATACACTGAACGCACTGAACTACTCACGCTTCTATACTATTGCTTATCAGATCTTAAAATAATATAATCTTATAATCAGAGCTTATAATCGCTTGTAACATAATGTTATATATCCCTCCACATCATGTTTATTCATGATTTATGTTCTACAAGCGTAGCCAACACCATATTTTCCTGCAATCTAAACACACTTCATTATAAATCTTCAATATAGCCTGTTGTTCAGCTTTCATAGACCTGTTAAATCATATAAAAAAGTGACGATAAAAAAAGTGGAAATAAGATAAGACAGAAATAAAGACGACGACGACGACGACGAATCGTCACATCAGGTTTCAAAGTTGATGATATACATGTATGAATATTTATCTTGGATATTTGCAGATAGGAGCAACATTATATTATACAAGGTGTTTCAGGTTACCTGTTTATCCTTTGTAAAGGGTGGTGCTAGGAGGTTAGGAAAATATGTTTGCTACAAAAGCCTATCTGAAGTAATTCTGACACTTGCTACTTTTACTTTCGGGAAACCCCTGGAAATATCAGAAACCGAGGACAACTTAAAAATTCTAAATAGCAACATGGGGCAATATGAATATCGTAGGATACAGTTTTTAAAAAGAAACTTTTGCTTGAAAACAAAATTTAATATCACTCAAAAATAAAAAGATAATTACAAATGTTCAGTCATTTCTCCATCATTTTGGCCTCACGCCGTCGACGGCTCTCAGGACTTCTGCAGAATTTAGAGAACAGCACTCTTAGGAAAAATTACTTAAGATGTTCCAATTAAATTAATTACTTACAGTTAACTGTAAGTAATTTGAAAATTTTAAGTAATTTTTTCTAAGGGCAAGCTTTTCAAATTCGCCGTTTCATTCGTCGTTCGAGTCAGATACAATAAACATAATACAACAACACGCAACATAATAAGTCAGAAACTCATGATACGGATTACAAGCCAAATATATATAATACATAAATACAATTCTGCAGAAATCCCGAGTCTGCGATCGCGCGATCGCGAATGTATCGCGATAATGACGTTGGGGAGCGACGAAAGGAAAAATGAAAACGGTTGCCGAACAGAGAACGAATCGCAAAAACTGTACCTAGTATATGTACACATTGTGGGGCGCATAAAGACGGGGGGGTCGTTACGAAACTATTGTGCATCATTTAGATCGACGATGGCACCTGGGTGTCTATAAGAAGGCAGAGCACACGTAAAGCGACGCACTCTGCGACTTTCTGGCCGGAGGAGTTTAACGCTGCGGCTTGCGAATCATATCGTCTGTTTGGGCAACAACACAAAGGCTGGAGGAAGAGAGGCCGAGGTGATAGTGTCCTTCTTGATACTTCGAAGGATCCGCAAGTCCCCGTGAGGACACGCTTCTCGTTCGCGGCGCTATTGGAAACGAGCGGCGGAGGAGAGGAAAGGCGCAGCTGGAAATTATAAAAGAGCGATCGAGCGGCGAAAGAGGGGCAGTCACTTCCAAGTGTGCACCTGGGGCACCACGAACAGGGTACGTTCACATAATCACAATATCTATTATAGTGCTGGAGAACGTAGGAGACTTGTATCTCGCTTCCGGGCGCTTTCGCGTCATCCGCTTTCAAGACAGCCACATCGAGTAAGCTTGTAATTAGGACTACTGCGTTAACTTTATTTACATGTTTATACTCACATTTGATACATCTTGCATTTTTATTTTTTTCCTTTTCTTTCCAAAATTTCTTCACGCCCTTCTGTTAAATCGCATCGATTCTGAGCGAGTCGAGTTAGACAAAACAGTCGTTGTTTGAATGCAGAGCTATGAATGATCCTCTGGTTTGGTTGAAAGCGCAGACCAGATTCGTAGATCTTAAGGAACAAAGCTTTAAACGAGAAAATTGACAAAGGATGTACTTTGTTCTCCGGTTGATTCTTCAGGATGACGCTCAAGGAAAGTAACTTGTTACTCCGAAAATTCAACCCTGTACGGTCACGGTTTTCACGAATTGAGATTTCGTTCACTGTAAAATCAGATGCAAATTCTCAGGAGAGCTCGGAGAGTACTCGAGAAAAGGACACAGCTTCCGGGGCCGCGTCCTGTAGCGATTAGTTCAACATGTACTGTAGTTTCGCTCGCATTTCGTTATCCAGGGATGAGTGTCCCACGCGCGATAAACAGCTCCTTTTCATTCTTCGAAGGGCAAAATATTGCTCTTCTCAAATGTCAGCGTTCATATTTCATTCATATCAGCCGTGCTCAAACGATCTTGCTCCGTAAGACGAACGCACGTATGACGTTCACGTCAGTGACGTCCTTAAGCCATCCGACCACGGAATTAATCTGGCGGGTCGATCGGTCGACGCCGTGCGAATTTCAATTCGCGCGGCGTCGATTTGCGAAGAGTAGCGCGCGCGCGTCCTCGTCCTTGCGTCCGTAGAGGTCGCGATTAGTAGAAGTCAAGAGTGTCGAACGCTGGCGAAGGGAATCTAACACACGCGCGAACGTCGATGTTTCGCGCGAAAATCGACGCGGAAAACACGCACGCAAATTCATTCGTTGGCCTCCTCCTCGCGATGACCGAATCGCGCGCGAGAAACGAGCTGCAACAGAGTTAACGATCGAAAGCGCCGTGACATAATCGTCGTAATACACGACGGAACCCTTCGGGCGAGCCGTTCGTCCACGTAACGATTGCGCGAGCGAGCGGGCAGTTTTTTAACAATTCGCCAGCCGAAGAGGTGACGTCGAGAACCAACCTGAAAACGAGAGAGGAAGGAGATATATTATCAGTGGCTCTCTGACGTAACGCGCGACCTCCTAATACTCCCGTATGGAAAAAGCTTGCGAACGTAACGACGACCGACATCGCGGATGAAAGCTCGCCGCGGATGCGATAAGTGGCACTTTCTACGCGGAAGAAAACGGCTCCCTTAACTAGCTTCATCATATATCGCAGTGGCTGCTGCACGCATTGATCGCGATTACGTTCGTCAACTCTGACACGTGCGAAATTGACAGAGAAGCATGATTTGCCGCATTAATGTTCGATGAATATTCCCTGTTCATCTGATTGATGAGTCGATCTGCCGGTTCATTAAGACACACGCGGTGATTTTCCTTATTACCATGTTCGTTTCGCGAAGTCGCTAAGTCAACGAGCGATGATCGTGGATACTATATGTAGCGACATGTTTTTGCCAATTACAGCCAGTAGACAATGTTAGAATACTTACGCAATTCTTGCGGCTACTTTCTGAGGTATTCGATGTTAATAAAGTGAACGAGAGCCGGAGAGGGGAGGAATAAACCGCGTATCCGCGTGGAGAGAAGTCTGTTACAGCCGGAGGCTGTTTATCGTTCGCGCGCGAATGCAGTTTTTGCGGAATACAATAATGAAGCGACGTTGGCGATTTCTCCACGGTACGCCTCGATTTTGCTCATTCCTCATTAACGCGTGAGACTTGAACATCCGCCGCGCGAACGCGCGGCGAGGAGAAAAATTGTGCCGTTGTGTCGCGATTGCGATAGCGCGAGCGAACGCACGTACGAATGAACGAATGAACGAATGAATGTAACGTGAGATGATAACGACACCTTCTCTCCGGCTGCGCACTCGCCGGTCGGAGGTTTGTTTCGGCGAACAAAGATGGGTGAACAACCTACTTGCATTGCATAATCGGAGAAAGCGATTGCGAAACAGGTTGGCGAAACGGGCATGTACGTATATATATATATATATATATACACAGAGAGAAAGAGAGAAGGGGGCAGGCTACCCTGAATCATGCACGTGGTGCGGTAGAAGTACACACTTATTTCCCGACCATGCTAATCGTTATGTCACACAAAGTGACGAAATGCCCGAGAATTCCCGCGCGATCTCAGCCGGCGACGCAATCGACCGGCCGCGCGGCGCGTGCTCCTTTTTTTCTTCACGGGGAAAAAAGGAGGCTCGAGCCGTTTCTTCCGCCGCTTTCGTGGAGAGACGGTTATTGAATAAGAACTGGGTCAGCTGGTCATCGGACGGCCTGATGATATCATCTGATGGTCTCGGAAGAAAGTGAAAACGCGCGATGCTCGTGCTTCTACAATCGCACGGGCGCTTTATTTCGGCAGAGAGATTAATGAGCGCGATACCCAAGAGAAGTGAGTATACTCGATGCAAAAGTCGATAACAGAGACATCGGAATCGTATTCCTGGATGACACTGGATTACGTATTCGGAGAATGGAGAACTTTGCAAATTAGAAGAGAACAGCGTGTTACTTTGCTTCCTCAACGGATATCTCAACGGTTTTTTCCAAATATTTTTGCCGAATAAGCTAGACGTCTGCTAGACGATTTCATTTTTCGCGCAGGGCTCGTTTCTTTGCCCTTTGTATCTTGTATCCTCGTGTATCCTTTACCTCCTCTTGAGCTGTTACCATCGTTATCCGTGAGATAGTTACGGCGAAATAAAGCTCACTCGGGAATATCCGCGGTCTTGCTCGAACTGCCGGAGACTAAACTAAACCGTCAACCGTTTCCAGGTCTCTTAGGTAGGTTCAAGTAGATCAACGCTTGCCTTTCGAACGAGTAGCAAGCCGCAAAAATGGGAGCAGTCGAGTGGGTAGTCGATGAGGATGAGTACGAGTGCACTCTCTCGGAGGAGACGCAGAAGATAGCGAAGGACGAGCTGAGGGAGACCAAGAACACCCGGGACCAGGCTCTCGAGCAGATGCGCAATTGGATCAAAATGAACCCGCGTGTTGAAAATTGCCGCCTTGGTGAGATTGCAATGTCGTATAGCGACCGACTAGCGCGCAAATACACGGAGGTTTAAGACGGAGAGGGAAATTAAAATGAGCGAGGACGTTAATAATTCGCCGATAATGTCCAGGTTATTTTCGTTATCTGAAGATCTGAATAGATCATCCCAGAGATCTCTCTGGATCATAGGTAGCTCATAATCCAGCTCCAAAAAACTTGAGACGATTGCCGAGTTCGTAGCGCGAAATTTTTAGCGAGTAGCTATGAGCGGCGATGAGATGCATGCCAGCTAATTAGTCATCTCCCGTTAGATGGACGATTCTTACTAAGATTCTTGCGATGCAAAAAGTTCAATGTGCCGATGGCACAGGAAGCCACGGAGAGGTATCTCCTGCTCCGTCAGGTGTACCACCCGGCCTTCAACCATCTGGACATCACGGAGACGAATATGGAGGAGTTGTTGTCACTAGGGTGAGTAGTCTGGCTGCGCCAGCCTCGTTATCCTTGGAAGCTCGTTTGCCACCTCGTTTGTCTTTTAGGTATCTCTTCGCTGCACCCGGCCGTGACTCCAAGGGCCGTCGCGTGATAATCGCCAGACCAGGTACGTAAACATTGGCGTTTACTTGAGTTGCGTTAGGGCGTAGATTGCAGGTACAGTTCTAACTGCGCGCACGATTCCCCATCCTAAGGTGTATTCGATCCGCACAAATACACGAACGTGGACATGTGCAAGATCCACGCCATCACTTATGAGTCGCTGATGGAGGACGAGGAGAGCCAGGTGCGCGGCTTCGTGCACTTCGCCGACGGTGCCGGCGTCAGTTTCCCGCATCTGACGCTCTTCACTCCGAAAGAGGCAGTGCGCATCGTGAAGAACGGCGAGGTATGATTGGCTTCTCAAGTGACGGCAGTGACTCCTTTCTGCCCGTGTATTCTTACTTACTTACGTAACTTCCCCTCGCGTGCGGTAATGCTTATGATGAAGTATCCAGTGGCAGCGTGAAAGCGAAGTCATCTCGCGACGATTACCATCTTCGAGAATGATCTCTCATGGATGTTCCCGGTCGCGCTTAATTCGGGTCTCGTCGACACTCACGCCGAGACTCAGATCGTACAAGCCGTATGTAAACGGCATAGGTACGTCTCGCTGACAGGTGTCGCTATTCGCCTCGGCAAATTGGCAAACTTTGCCGATACAGCGGCGAAAGCGGCGGCCCGTTTTCGTCATCGAGCCGCAGTTCCGTTCTCGCGTCTGGACCAAGGGCGCGACGGTCATATAACGGAGATTTCACCGCGCTACATTCGAATCGTGGGATTAGGGACGTAATGCGTGTCGAAATTGCCTTGTCCCTTCATGCTTTGTGAGAAAATTAGACCGATCGTTTCATCGATTTCGCAATTAACCGGTCGATCTCCGCGCGTATCATCGCGAATTTATCACGAAGATACGAAGGCGGTCGACGGGTGGAATAAGCTCGCGTTAATCACGGGCTTCTTTCAGCGCACCGTGCCGATGCGGCACAAGGAGGTGCACGGTATCAACGCGCACCCCTCGCTCAAGTTTGCCCTGGACTTCGGGATGTCGCTCATCTCCGAGAAGATCAAGAACCGCATCAAGGTCTACACGAGCCTTGAAGATGCCATCAATAACAAGATGGACGTGAGCATGTTACCGAAAGAGTACGGCGGCACCATTCCCATGAAGGAGATGATCGGTAATTTGCGCGTTTCATCACGTATCTACGAGTGCCTATTTCCGACCGAGAGAGCAGAGAGTCTCTCGTCGTTCCACTCGTGAAAGATAATAAATCCCGCTTCTCCCCCCGATGTAGATTTATGGCGGAAAGAGCTGCTAGCGATAAAACCCACGTTACTGAGTCACGACAAGATGAAAGTTTGCCTCGAGCTGTACTCAGAGAAGGCGCGAGAAGGTGCGGTCTCGGCCCTGAAGCAGGGTTTTGGCTGCTCCAGCGTGGGCTCTAACGACTCGACGATGTACGGCATCACCGGGTCCTTCCGGAAGCTCGAGGTCGATTGACATCCTTACCCGTGCCGGGTCTATCTATAGGGGAACAGGTGGCGATCAATGCCGCACATGACAGACTATTTGGGCGAGATATCGCTGATGTTTTTTTTTTTTTAGAATTATACAGCACTGGTGTCAAGTGGGCGTAATATAAATTTTGTATTTGGTAGCTACTAGATTTATCGTAACGTGTGGTGCACATGCAAGTATCTCAAGTATTGTACATAGCTTTTGTAAACGTATCATAATCGATGCATTAGATGGAAAGGAACCTGAAGCCTTATTCATCGTCCTTATTCCTGACGAGGACTTCCTTCACGGAAGAGAGCCACTTGCCGATTATGCTGCGAACCTTCGCTCTGGCTTTCTTCAAGTCCTCCACGTCCGTGTCTGCGTCGCTGTAGAGATCGCGACAGTGCGAAGAGCCTGAAAATAAAACGACGCATGTATTTGTCGTCGTTTCGCGCCGTAGAATTGTAGACGTGAGCAGTTTCGGTGCCTCTCAATGTATCTCAGTCCGTTTGATTACCGTTGATGAGAATAGCTGGGGCGTAAGCGTTGAGATCTTCCAACACCGATAGAGCATGCCACGGGTCGATATCGCCGTTCGTGAAAATCACGTTCGTCAAATCCGGTCGCTGCCCTCCGTACATCATGTTCGTCCTCTTCACTCGCGAATCCAGCAACTTTTCGTTGTAGCTAAAAGCAACGGACGGAGATTTTCTCTTTTAGCTGCAGATAACTCGACACTCGACAATCGCTTGACACTTAGTATTAGGGGAAGCTTTATTAAAAAATAATGCCGCGATCTCTGCACGAAGACGGGAACATGACTGTAATAACATGAATGACTATAATAAACATGAATATAATAGACGCAAAATATTGAGCGAAACATTTTTCTATCTGCTCGGAAATTTTTCTATTTTTCGGCTTTTCTAAAATGATGCAAGTTTTAACCCTTCGTATATCCTTGCGTGGTATTAATTAAATTAAAACTAAATTAAAAGAAATTAAATTTAAATTAAATTTTAAAAAATAAAAATGATGAGCGCTATTAATAAAAGTTATAAATAGTTAGAATTGTTCAGAAAAGAAACTCAGGAATTATTAGGTGCGCAACTAAGTTCCCGCTGTTTTTCAAGAGATGGCTCCGGTAGTAAGTGCTGGTCGATTGTGACATAACCAAAACGTCATGAACCAAGCTTAGACATATGGTAAACAAACCGCTTTGACACATTAGTGATTTTGTTTTTGCGTCATATACTTTTGGTTGTGTGAAAATGTCTTATTTTGTGCCAAATAATCGTCATTTGCGGGAAGTGTTGCTTTTCTTCTTTCATTCGAAGAAAACGGCGGCTGAAGCGCATCGAGAACTCCAAAAAGTTTACGGAGATGCTGCTCTAAGTGAAACAACGTGCCGTGATTGGTTCCGTCGCTTCAAAAACGGTGATTTCGATGTTGACGACCGTTCGCGTGAAGGAAGGCCAAAAACCTTCGAAGACGCTGAATTGGAGGCATTGCTCGATGAGGATCCGTGCCAAACGCAAAAGGAGCTTGCTTCAGCATTAGGAATTACTCGCCAAGCCATTTCCAAGCGATTGTATGCGTTGGGAATGATTCAAAAACAAGGAACTTGAGTTCCTTATGATTTGAAGCCAAGAGACGTTGAGCGTCGTTTTTTCGCCTGTGAACAACTGCTCCAGCGGCAAAAAAGGAAGGGTTTTCTTCATCGCATCGTTACGGGTGATGAAAAATGGATTCATTACAGCAACCCAAAGAGAACAAAATCATGGGGACTGCCCGGTCATGCTTCTACGTCGTCGGCTCGGCCGAATATTCACGCTGCGAAGGTTTTGCTGTGTATTTGGTGGGACCAGGGCGGTGTTATTTATTATGAGCTGTTGAAACCGAACGAAACCATCACTGGGGAACGGTATCGAACTCAATTGATGCGATTGAGCCGAGCACTGCGCGAAAAGCGGCCACAATACGAGCAGAGGCACGAAAAAGTGATTCTACAGCATGACAACGCTCGGCCTCACGTTGCCAAACCCGTTAAAACCTACTTAGAAACGCTCAAATGGGAAGTCCTACCCCACCCGCCATATTCCCCAGATATTGCGCCGTCCGATTATTACTTGTTCCGTTCGATGGCACATGGTCTGGCTAATCAGTAGTTCCGCTCATATGAAGACATCTCAAAATTGCTTGATTCGTGGATAGCCTCAAAAGACGAACACTTCTACCGTGACGGTATTCGAGCTCTGCCAGAAAGATGGGAAAAAGTTGTCGCTAGCGATGGGCAATATTTTGAATGATTCATTTGTAACCATTTTTTCACAATAAAGTTGCATTTTCATCAAAAAAACAGTGAGAACTTAGTTGCGCACCTAATATTAAGTTGAATTTTCTACTCACTAATCGCCGTACAAATCGATACACATGTCGGTGAAGTAACTCAGCGGGAAGAGCGTTCCAAAGATCGACTTATCCGAGCTGGTAGTCTGATAGTAACCGTACTCCGTGCAGGTTTGATGATACCACTGTCTCACTGTAAACAAGTGACGCAGAGTGAAACATCGCATCGCGACGACTTCGTTTGGCTCGTTAGACGAACGAGATTGAACTCACTGGCAGAGGCTGCCGCAGGCGAGTCCCATGAGATATCGCGGTATTTCTTTATGACATTCTTGTAACTCATATCGAAGCAAGCCGAACCCGGATCCGAGTTCGCGATGACACGCGCAAGTCTCTGCAGAGGGCTGCCAAGATGCGTCGCTGTCATCTCGGCGCACAACGCCGCGATCTTCGTGCGTCCATTCTCCACTTTGTCGTATTGGACGATTTCAGCGAATACCTGATATCGCGATATAAACGACCGAACGAAACGGGTTATCAGCTTGTTGTTATCAATTAGTATACGTGTATACGTACCTCTGCTAATGAATTCATCAAGCTTCCGAGATCACTCGGAGACTTCACATCCGGCACGTTGCATAAGCTGAAGTCAATATCAATCGTAAAGTCATCGTTTTGATTCATCGCGACAGACCCCTCTATCTTCTTTGCCTCTGTTCATTTTACCGCAATCGTAGAACGCGCCAAAAAATCGTCGTTACTTGAAACTCGTCTCACGTGGGTGCTTGGATCTGAATTAGAGTCTGAGTTTTCCAGTCGGATCATACATGTCGACATACATGTGACATCGCACTGTGCAAGTCAACCGGAAAAATCACATCTAATCACCCGAAAAACTCAAGTTCGAGCATTTCGTGAAACAAGTCTCAAGTGACAATTATAAATATAGATTCGTACAGTATATCACTATCTTACTCGAAATAAACCTTGAGCTTCTCGGGGCCGCCTTGCGCGGCCAACAGCTCCTCCACCGACTCGAATGCAGTCTTTACGTCCGCCACACATTGCGCGCTGTGCCTGCCGAGCGATCTCGTCACCACTTCGTAGTACTCTGAAAGAAACAAAGCGATTAGCGATATTCATTAGCGCGAAACGCGCTCGATCGATCGAAATCGCTTACCATAAAAATCGGCTTTCGCATAAATCGGCGCGCTGCTAGCTAGGGCGCCCTTGAAAAATTCAAAAGGAACTATCTAAATACTCTCGGGGGAGACTTGATCGTTAGGATACATCAAGACGACGAGAAGTACCTGAATGAGATGAGGATACTTGAGTCGTGCCCACGTCGCCATGTTGCCGGCGTAGGAGCCGCCAAACACTATCACAGGACTGTTTTCCAAATTCTTCTCTTTCTTCTTCGTTTCGATAAAATTCGCGAGATCGGCGAGCGCTTGGTCGACGCTCAGGTATCGCAGGTTGCTCGCGCTGGTGTCCCTAAATTCGTTTTGTGGGGGAGCGATATTGAAAACGTGATTCCGCATTTCGGTAGACGACGCGAAAACTATGGACTACTTATGTACTTTGTCGGCCTGCTCTTCCCGTAGAAGCGATGCTCCGTGTAATACATCATGCCACCGTGAACGGACGCGATCTCGTACATCAGTCCACCCTGTAGAAATCCAGTCGATATCGTCCATTCTCCGCCGATCGTGATCAAGATAGGCCCGTTTGCTCTCAGTAACGCGGAGTTTTCATAGTAACGCTGCGGAATGGTCGGCGAGTGTTACTTTGCCGGTATAACTTCTCCTCCGGGTGAAACAGAGGTACTCTCTAAATTTCTTCGAGCTCTGTTCGAAGACATTTTCAGTCGAAAAGCAGGGTGACGATCAAATCACTCACAGCGTGCATTCTCCATTCTGAATAGTCGAGTAGATATTTTCATATTCAAAAATGAAGAATGAATCTGATATGCGCCACCGGCGTAAAATAAAAATTTAATCGATGGAAACACTCACTCATAAAAACTGTGAGAATCCATTTTGAGTTTGAATTAAACGTTCACTCCTGCGATGCCGTGTGACGGTATCTTTACTATTGTTTCGAGAGAATTTTCTTTCGTTTTAAATACAATCTTTCACTGAAAAGAGAAATTTAGAGAATAAAACAGTTACCATCGACCAAGTGCGATTTTCACGGGGATTGAAGTGATCGAGCGGTTGAGTGATCCAGCCTTCGATCACCTGGTCCTTGTAGGGTCCTATCGGTTTCGGCTCCTCTAGACCGCGGTAGGTGAATCCGCGAAAACCCATCCCATTCGCGAAGGATTGGATCGAACACAAGACGAGCAGCACATTGAGCACAGTCATGACGAATCGTCGGAGAGCGAATTGTCGCGACTTTATTTCCTGATTGTAGAGCGAAAAATAGCAATGCTTGTCTTTTAAAGCACGCGCTCAGTATACTTTACCTAAATTCATCGAATGCAATCGATTGATATTTACCACCTCTCTTGAGATAATCAGCGATATGATATCTCGATCGCGTAATAACATCTTTGTCAGTGTTTGTATTGTATTCTTGTAAATTCGATCAAGTGATCGCGATTGAAGAAATCCAAATACAATTTAGAGCCACGAGGATCATCCATTAAGACGGTATCGCACGATAAGCATGCGGATGTGAGGAGTGCTTATCGTGTGATAAAGCGTGTCACAATGAAACCACAACACGACGTGGACTCTCTTGCAATTAGATATACCTTATCTATCGTTTTCGCGACGTCTCGGATGATCGATTTAGCGAAGGAATGAAAGATAAAGTGGGATTGCATTTAAGATAAATACAGATTTCTTTTTGATGATCGTTTATTATTTGCTTATTTGTACACTCTTAACAGCCATTATCTTACTCTTATAAAACTTAATAGCAGTCTTTGTTAGAGTTTGTTAGATTTATTATACAAGAGATATCGTCTGAGAATAGCTCGACGCTATACAGCGAAGCTTGAATAAAAAATATTGTCTTTACATATATATACATACATACATACATATATACATATTTATATATATATATATATAACATGTGTGCGTGTATGTATACAACATGTATATATGCATATATATATATTTTTTTTTACACGGTCTTTGGTTTTCGGGTGACTCCTGTCAAACCAATTAATGCTTTCTTTTCGCTTCTCTGTATTCATTCTCGCTGTTGTTTTTCCTCTTAGACTTCTTCTTATGTTTCTTTGAGGAACGACTATCTGATACGGTCTCCTTATCGTTGTGGCTTTTCTTATGATCCGTCGAGCGACGGTGTTCCTCGGGCGATTTCGAACGGCGCGAATTGTTCAAGCTTCTTGCGCTGGATCTGTCGCTTCTTTCGTATTTCTCGTCGTGCGAACTTTTCTGCGATTGTTCCCATTCTGTGAGATGACAGTGTTTCTTCTCGGGATCTTTCGACCGAGGTTCTAGCTCGATCTCTGGAGACTCGGACCACCTCCAGTTGCGGTCTTCCTCGCCGTTATCACGAACGGATTCCTCCCACCTGGATTTGCCCCTCCTGCAGAAACAAGATCAAGATTCATAAATAACAATGGAATCTCCGGCCTGTTCGAAATTTATTTCGCTATACTGTATTCGCGTAAACTTTCCCGATAGATAACTAATCGACCGACCTGTGTTCGCTTCTTTTGCTGTTATTCGATATTTGCGGTGTGCTCTTCAGGCGCCAGATATCCTTGATGCCGTATTCGTTTCGTGGGTTTCGAAAAGTGTGCAGAAAATTGCAAGCCGTGCCTTTCGGACACTTGCTCATCCCGCAGATAGCATTGCGCCAGGATATCAGATTGACGAACTCGCACCTCAGTTGTTTGCCGGCATACCAACGGCCATTTAACCTCTTCCAAGCTCTGGTGGCCTCGCGCTCTGTCTGATACTCGACGTATAAATTGCCACGCAAATGCGTCTCGGTGTTACAACAACATCTGAGGACACTAATTTTGCCGTACGATTCCAGTTCGGTGATCACATCTTCGTAGAATTCTCGAAAATGTTGCCATGTCTCCGAGGTCTCAAACTCAAGGGACACATCTGTATCGTATTCTGCCGAGTTCTTTTCAAGTGAGAAGTGCGAATAAAATCCGGGGATCAGAATCACTTTGCTCAGAAAGACCGCACGGTGATTTTTCGAACACTTATCTCCGTACCTAAAGCAGAAAAGAGCATTGAAAGGAAAAAGATTAATTTGGATTTCAGTCCAATTTGATTTTGTTGTAATTCGATAGAAATTTATCGGTGAAATAGAGTATTAATTTTCAATAATTCTCAAACGGAATACTTCTTTCAGCGCAATCAGAAGACAATAAAGACTCGGTGTTATAAATGTTTCAACATCGTTATCGTTCAGCCGACTGACCGACAGGCACCCGTTTTCATGAAGAACGGACAGAGTTCCTTTCCGGGCTGAGTCTCGCTAACTTCTCGCAGAGCCTCGGGTGTCTTCGCCCCGTTGTCGACATAATCTTCGATATCCTTCTGCAACTGTTCCCGTTTCTTCAATTGCTCCTTTCGCTTGCGCCTCCTTTCCTCTTCCTTCTTCCGGGACTCTTCGTACTTTGCCTCGAATTCCTTTTGGATCTTTATCTGCTGCTGCAACTGCTCCTGCCTCTCTTTTTCCTTCTGTTGTTGAAGAACCTGCCACTCCTTTTGCGCTCGTACCTACAAGATCGAGAGACGATGATCGGGTCAATTAAGGCGTATAGACAAAATCTTTTCCAAATTCGCAATCAAAACGTGTATCTACCTCTTCAAGGTGAGGAGCAATCTTTAAAACTGAATCTTCAAAGAAAACCTCCAAAAGGTTTCAGATTGTTCCTCTCCTTGAAAAAGTAGATTGAAATGTTCACGAAACATTGGAAACAAATCCACTATAGACGCGGTGGACCGAGCCGGAAAGTAAGTCAAGCATTTCTCTACATTGAGAAAATATCGGACGTATTTACCTCCTCCTCCAGCCATTGCCTCTCCAGTTCCTCGTGCTCTTGCCGCTCTCGCGCTTCCGTTTCTTTCTCCAGTTTCTCCTGCTCGTCGCGCCACTTCAAATATTCCGCGCTGCGCTCTAGTGCTGCCCTCAGCTGTTTCTCGTCGTCATCACGTCGCTGAGCGGCCTCACGTCGTAGACGTCTGCGACGCTCCCTTTTCGCGATGTATCGCCACTGTTTATGACTGATTTTCGTCTCACGACTCTTTTCCATCCTGGTACATCCTCGGGAACATCGACGATCGTGCACGGCGGCTAAACACTCGTGAATAATCACGTCAAAACGTACGAATGACTGACCGTCAGCGTCGCACGTGTGGTACGGCATGTGTCTGACGCCATATTGATCTCGGGAATAACACGAACGGCACGTCGAGACGTTGGGAGGTCCCAATCAGGGCCGATTATCAGGGAATCGTCAAGCTGAACAATAACGATTCCACGAATTTCGCGGAGTATATTAGTTGTGATGTGTATGTTCAGCGCGACGTCTTGTTACGCTGAAACCTCGTATTGATTACCCGCAGGTAAAGGTCTTGAGTCTTGTCGTCAATTTCGATCGATGAAGAGATAATACAGATTGTGTATCATCATGCTGTCAAATATTGATGCTATCGTGCATTGCAGTAATACCGCATATCATTCCTCTCATCGTCGTGTCTTGGATATATTGGGTATCCAGTAATCCAGACTCTTACCTTCACAACCTTACCTACCTGCATAATGCAAATTAACACTCGCGAGTAATAGATTCGCGACCTCGCCGAGAGATGGTGCGATCGTGACTGTTTTCTTGAGAAGCAAATTCGCCAAAATCCAGATGAATTCATTCACAGAACTTAAGTTTACTGACATAGCACCAGCTGTGCCAATAATATTCACGACTTTTAGGAATGTGGAACTATTTCGAGTTTGTTTAGCATTTAGCAAAAATAGTACAGTTTGGCGAATTTGGCGCAATTGTCACGAGGATCATCGCGAAAGAACCGCAGGGAGAGAGGTGAATGTTCAATTGAAGTTGAACATTCCGAGATTTACATGCGTACGAAGATTGACACTTTTTCTTTCCGCATCTATACGTGAAGTCACATAGTTCTGGATGATTAGTACACGTCAATTAAATATTTATGAGGAGAGGCTGATATACGAGCGTCGATGATGCGTCATCAAATTAGGGCATTTTCACGGTCGTTGTTTTGGAATTATGAAAAGGAGAGACTTCACTCTCGTTGCTTGAGACACACGAGTTGACATGTTCGACGTAATGTCTCGCAGTTAAATTTCAATCGGCCAATGATCGTCACACTTTAAGCTCGGTGAGTTTCGTCGCTTTCCTTTCTCCAAGCTTCGTCAGTCCCACGAATAAATAGGGGAGACCGGGGCTGGTTGATACCTCGATAGATTTTTTTAATGAATTTTTTAAGCGTAAGTAACCAATGGAATGTAAGCGGCATGAAAATTCTTTAATAGCTACGTGCCTATACAACACAAAAATTATTTTTTCGATTGAATATTTCTATTAACTTTATTGCATCAATGAAAAATATAATAAGGCGACAGTATTTGTAACAACCAAGCTCATATATAAGGTCAGTTGTTACAGTTATCGGGGGGGGGGGTCAGTTGTTACAGATCTCTGTATTTCAAAGAATACATTTAATGATTAGAAATAAATGAAAAATGTGCACGATATAACTATTCATATTTTGCAGATAAAATATGTGTTCATGTAGCATTAATGATAAGTAACATAAATATATTTATCAATGATATAAACATAAAAGCATCAAGAGGCACACCGTGTCTATTACACGCGAAACTGCGAGTTGAAATATCAATTACTTTTAACTGCACTAATGAACTAGTGCACTTATTGAATTAGTGCAATAAGTTACAGTAAACAGCTGACAGCCGTAATGACAGACCCTGTAACAAACAGTTCGAGCTCACCATATTTACATATTTTGGTTATTGTATAAATAAATAAAAGTATATTTCAAGCCGTCAGTATAACTCAATAAAAATTATTACTTTTAAAACAAAGATTCTAAATAAACTGTTGCAATTATAATATAATGACAAGATTTATTAATATAACATAATATATATGTCTGATTTATTTTACTTTTGACTATCAAAAACTAAAAATGTTTTTTGTTTCTGAAAATACACTAGTTAGCCTGAAATAACTAATTACAACCTGATACGTAATGTTTTTATTACTATATTTTTTTGCATTTTTATTTAATTTTATTTAATTTTTACTTAATTAATTTTTTACCTTATTATATCTACATATATTACGGGTTTTAAGGAGATCTTTTCAACAATGCCGAACAATATATAAAGATACAATAAGTTAGATTAGGATTATTTTGGGGAGGAGGTACGGGGGAGGGGCGGAGCTCCTCTTCCGCTTATATGTATCGTTTCTTATATTTCTATGTATGCACTATGTTTGAATTAACTGTATGGAAGAACTGTATGGAAGTCCTACATTAGTCCATTATTCCTTGCAAATACGTTTCATAGATCTAATGTCAGCAACAGCTTATCTCATTTAGGTAAGGAATGTAAGCAAAACAACTTGGATATCGGGTATCGAGGAACTTAAACATCATACGATACGATGATAGGAAAGTATAATATCTATATATAGTACGAAAATTATCATCATATTCATTAAACTTTCTTTCTTAATAACTTTTTAATAAACAATGAGCGACGGCTAAAACCTTTCGATTGTTGCTCAGGAGGGTTAGTTCTATAATATATGTCAACATCAAGACCGCGGAAGGGTTGTCGGTTATTGTAAATATTTATCAAGAATTCGATGTTCCCATAAATCTATTGAAATTTACTGGAGAGAGATGTGTCGGTGGATTTACGCAAAACGTAAATGAAAGTATGGACAATCTGATTTGGTGCACAGCGGTGCATACATTGTGCAAATTCCTTCCAATATTGTTGCATGCATTTTTAATGAAAGTGCTGATAGAAATATGAATGCGCATATTTATTAATAATGCATGCATTAGAAATCAATATTGGTCACAATTGTGCCGCATAGTGTGAATATCAAAACCGAGCGCGCATCGATGTGGCCGAAGTGCGAGCTATTACGTCCGGCTCACGAACGTAATAATAAAATCTGGGATCTTCGCAAAAAACGGTTCGGTTAAGAACGGTTTATTTAACATTAAGACCTAGAGACCACGCAAGAACTTGAAAGGCTAAAAGCGGACTGAGGTACTAGATGTGAACTGATCGAAAGCAGGCTAGGAACTGAGGAATAGGGAAGGTTTTGCGTAAGGCATAAGAATATGCAGACGTAATATAAATTGTTTTATTAGGGTTACGGGGGAAGATAAGATCCTGAGACTGGTCGGATGTTTTAGATATGATAGATACGGAGGAATTTGGGAACATATGTTGCGAAGATCTACATAAAAAAATAAGAGTGGGATATAAATCGCGGTACGTAACAGAAGGAAGAATTGCTCGCCGTCAATAAAGGTTTTGTGGAGCGATGCTGCTACTGATGTGGAAGGTACTTCATATGATCTCGGAATTGCCGACTAGAGGTAAATTGCAACATTCTGCTGTTAACAATAGTTGAGCTAAACTTGAAACTTTAAACGCGTTTTACTCGAAACACGATTTTCAAAGACGGTGGACACGATATCTCAAAAACCAATCGATGGATCGTTCTCAAATTTTTACACAGTACTCTCAGAAACTTTCTTTTGTCGTTGACAATCTCACTTTTTTCATCGATCTTTATTAAAAACAGAAATAACATCAGAAAGACGAAAATTTTTTGTAATCTCCGAAATGTTCGAAATCTCAATTTCAACCCCCATTTTGTAACAAACGACAAAATCCAAAATCGGCGAACGTCAACGACAAATCACTACTGAGTATTAACTTAAAAATACCATATGGTACTTTTGTTTCAGATGAATCGTTTAGGCGGGAGAGTGTCCACCGCAAAACACATTTTTCTCAACCGCGATGTGTGCCGGCGCCCATATTTTTTTCCGTTGCAATTTTCTAATGATATATATATATATATATATATATATAGGGTGCGTACGGTATTTGAGGACAAATTGACATTAAAACTAATTTGTTCATATTTTTTGCAAAATTTATTATAATTCCATGAAATTTTTACACGACGTTAATTGATTCCTAGACTATACAATTACTCAATAAAATCCCCATTTGGGGTAATAACGGACTCAATCCGGGGTCGGAAACGATTGCATGCCCGAATCAAATGCTCTTTGTTCATTTTGATCATTGTTGTTGTTATAGCATCCTTCAGTGATGAAATATTCTTATGAGGATGTTTATTGGTCTCCCGCTCAAGTACGTCCCATACGTAATAATCCAGGGGATTAAGGTCTGGGGAGCTAGGTGGCCATAAGTTTGGGGTAATGTGGTCATAGAAATTTTCGGTCATCCAATCTTGTGTCGTCATGGCTTTGTGTGAAGGGGCAGAGTCTTGCTGGAATATGTATGGTCTGTTCCCACGTACACTATCAATCCAGGGTTTCACAACTGTTTCTAAAACCTCGATGTAGGCGGCAGCATTCACCCGACGAAGCCCCTGACGAAAGAAGTGGGGTGGCATAACATGTCCTTCGTTGCTCACAACTCCTAAAACCATGACAGTTGCTGGAAACTTCGTGTGCATAACACGGGGAACCTCTGTAGGATGTGAGCATAACCACCTGTCATTTCTTGGTCTTGGTCGAAATTTTTTTCGTCAGAAAAAAACCACAACATGTTAGGAACTTCAGGGTATTTCAGCTTATTCAAAAGACGTTTTCCTCGGATAAGTCTCTGTTCCCGAGTTTGTGCCGACATAAACTGTCCTCTGCGTATAACATAGGACGTATAGCGGAGGTCTTCGTGGACAACTCGACGGATTAGGCTCTCAGAGACATTCAGGTCCCTCGCAATGGCCCTCATGGACTTTGAAGGGTTTTCGTCAACGATCTCTCGCACTTGTTGGACAAATTGTGTATTTCTAGTAGTGTTCGAACGTTCCTCATGTTTTTTGCGTTTTGCAACAGTTTCTACATCGCCAGCTGATGCTTCCAATTCACGACGAACCTTATGTACGAATAATCGGGCGCAACTGAGAAAATTGGAGATTTCTAAATCGGTGTGTTTCGCGCATATAGCGACGATAACTGCATGTCTCTTCATTTCTTGCGTTATTTTATAGTCCTCCATTGATGATCTGACAAGAAAAGAAACGAACAAAATTGTTCTCCAGAAATTACATTCACATATATGAGTGTCCTCAAATACCGTGCGCACCCTGTATATACATATTTATATTGTCAAAATATAAGTCTATAATCACACAAAATTTCATATAATTTCCATTACGCGTATTGATATTATATTACGTAATTCCCATTTAGCAGGAATAAAATGTCAAAATTTGGTTTTCTGTTTTTCGGCCTTCTAGGTATATGTAACCCCCCCTGAAGGACACACATGCACCTGCTCGTTACGCTCCTGAAGCGTACCGTTATACGCTACCCGCCGGAGCGTTGAACTGTGTTGGAGCGATGCAGTAGAATCGCGACTGTCAGGCCAACACGATAGAGCGCAGCCCGAAGGAAAGAAACGCTGAAAAACTGAGTCACTAGCGCGAAGAGTTCTCCATAACGAAGAAAAATGTGCGGCTAACAACTTGGCCGAGCACGTGTCCTTCCTCGTACACGTGATTCCGCGACGTTCCGCGGAGCCACGAGAGTAAGAAACGTCGTGAGCGTCGCGCAGTGTGACATCAACCTTCGACGTTCGTTCGAAAATGAACAGTACGTGACCGGTTGTCCCGGCAAGCGAAATATGGAGAATAGGATGACGGAGCAAACCAACGTGCTGGTCATGGAGGCCCGCGAGCCCGGCAGCAAAAAGTCCAAGCTCTGGGCCTACCTGCTGTGGTTGTTCGGCGGGCTGTTCGGGGCCCACCACGTGTACCTCGGCAGAGACGACCAGGCTTTCGTGTACATGAGCACATTCGGCGGCTACATCGGCTTAGGCTGGCTCAGGGATATTTACGCAATACCATCGTACGTGGCAGACGCGAACGACGCTCCGGCGTTTATCGAGGACTTCAAACGAAAAGTCCGGGCTAATCGCAAGGTAAATAAACACTCGGCGCGTGGAGTTTGAAGCCGCCGCGCCGTGGAATGTTCCACGTGAGCTTTCGCTGCTCTTGAGATCTGTATTTTACTTTATGAACATCTTTTCGGTCGTAATTGTGGTCTTCGTCGCTGCTCGTGCGAACGATAACGCTTCTGTGATATAAATTGTATAAATATTAACGTTCAAGGTGTTACGCAATATTCACGGTCGTCGGTAAACGCGCGCCGAGCGCGTTCCGAAAAGGATGTTTAGTAAACCATTCAGGTGCCGGGGGAATTGTTGAAGTTTGCTCGCGAGTAATGTGGCGGAATTGCCGAACGTCAGCGAGGAAGATTGACGTGTCGAAATGCGACACGTCAATCTTCCTCGACTTGGACCTTCGGCTGACGAAAGCGAACTTGTTGATTACAGCCGCCGTTTTCCGGAGCGCGGTTCGTCGCGGAGACCTCCGTCAGCTACTTGTGGGCCGAGTTGTTCAGGAGTGCGATCCCGTTGGACGAAGTGTATGGTATTAATTTCAGGCATCTGCTGATCCTGACGCCGGCCGTGATCGCGCTAGGTAAGAATCGCCAGCTGCACAAGGAAGAGAAAACGGAAAAATTGTGAGCGCTCGTTAATATGACGTGTTACATTTTCTTATCGCGTGTCGTTTCATACGTTATGTTTCTTCCGACGATAAGCTGCTAAGGCCACGACACTTACAACTATACTTACACTATAACATTGTCCGCTATGAATATAAAATATTGTGGAAAAACCGAGATCAACACATTGGCTTATTCGGCGCGGAATAAGCGGAATTATCGTGAAAGTCCATCTTTAATTTTACCGGCTGCCCTTTTTGCATCAAGCCGTATTTTATATCATTTTTTCCCAGAGATTTCGTTTCCATTTTACAAACTGAGAGTTTTTCTCTCTTCGTTTAGGTAAATAAATGTCTTATAAATAAAATAGCGTCCAAGATACTTTTTCCTATTGAATATTGTTTCTGTTATAAAGCTGTCGCAACAGTTAATAAAGTATCGATAAACATAACGAATCGAGGAGATGGAAATTTTGGGGTTACGCAGGGGTTGCGTATTTTTGTTGAATATTCCGTTCAATGCTGAATTTTCACAAGGTGTTTGGCTGGTCGGCAACATCGGCCGAGAACAGGGTTCATTATGGGTGGCATTGGTCGCCGCTTACCTGCCGTATCCGACCTTGTATTACATCGGCGATGATACCGTGTGGGTGTTCCTCATGGTGATCATCTCGAGCCTCAGCTTCGACACCTTCAGCAAGCAATGGCGGCTGAAACCAAGGAAAAAGAAGAACCTCATGCAGAGGACGACATGTCTAGGTTTAGCATTCATGCTCTACTTGTCCGTGATGGGTAGCTACCTGTATTTCAACGCGGTCATCACTGACAGTGAAGGCGAGGAGATCAAGCTGTCGGAAGCGGTGCAGCATTTCCTCACCTCGCCCATTTGGCTGGATCTCAAGGTGGGTTCGCGACGAAGTTGAAAAGCATGACTGCTTACCTGTTACGCGTACGTTACGCGAGTGTTATCATTGTTTGCCCATCGCAGGTGAGCTTGGAGGTCATGTGGAACCAAGCGAAGCACGACGGATTCTGGGCCACGTGGGCGCATCTGGTAGATCTTACGGATCCTCGTGGCGAAATAAACGCTTACAAGGTCTGTTAAACGTCCCTTCACGGAGTCTCGTTAAACTCGTCGATTTCTTTCTCTTTCAATCTCTTTCAATCGTCAAATTATTTTTACCGAGCCCTAAAAAGGCTTTGACCTAAATAATAATCCGATCGTTAGAGCAACTAAGTAACCATCACGACGTTTGATCATCCGTAGGTTCTGGACCTTTCGCAAACGGCGACGCAGGCTGAAGTGACAGCTCGATGGAGGAGTCTCTCCAGGGATAATCACCCGGACAAGGTTAAGGGCTCGGAGGTGGAGAGGCGCCAGGCTCAAGAGAAGTTTATGGAGATTCAACAGGCATACGAGATCCTATCGCGAGCGAAGAATCGCAGGCAACGTCGTAACCGTCGTTCCGAAGAATGAACTACGTGTGACGGATTTCCGCTGTTGATCCCATATTCTTTCGGTCGCCGGGATTCCATTTACAAAATGGCGTATGACTTCGCAGCGATATAATCCAGCCAATCAGGACTAAACAAAGAGGAGTGAACAATCAATAACGTAACAGGGAGGATTGATCCAGAAGACATTTATTTTAACAACCATCTCTGTGACAATAACTACATCGATATAAAATCTTGTACGTAAAACGCGTGTTAAGTTAGAGGAGAGACTCGCGAGCCGCGCGCAAGCTAGCCAGCTCACTCGCTTGCTCGGCCCGCTCGTCTCTGAAATTCGACCTTCGACTAGGGTTGCCAGATGCGAAATGACTATTTCCGGGACTTTTTTTTAGGCGACGGTTGAAAAATAGGTTGTTAGAGAATTTTACTTAATTGTGAAAGATAGAGGGGTGAGTTTAGACATTGAATTTTTTGGCTTACTTAACATCAGTTTTCTGAGGTGACACGTCAAATTTTTTAACCTTATAAGTTCCGACAATTGCTCTCATATTTCTCTCTAGTGCCAGTTAAAAACATGAATATTATGATAATAATTTTGTTGAAATTTTGATTTTCCGGGACAAAAGACTTAAATTTCGGGACAATCCCGGAAATCCCGGCCATCTGGCAACTCTACCTTCTACCTTTCGGCTCGAGTCCGGAGGGTTCTCCGCGCGAATTCTCCCGCTCAAAAGACATCCGCGTCCGCACAGCTGATTCGAGATCCCATTCGCCGCGGTGCGGCGGCGGCGAATCTTCCAGCGCCATTGCTGCGATCCTCGTGACCTTCGAGCGCGGCGCGGCCGCGCAACTCGAGCTCTCGTAAACTCCCGCTCGTGTCTTGCCGTTCTCGCGCCGCGTCTCGCGATCCATTAGGAGTCTAAACTAAAAATAAGACTCGACCGTCCCGAATGTTTACACCGCCGGCCTTCGCCGGCCGCCGAAAGTTTACACCGAAAACAATCTCGAGTAGCGGCCGTATAAGCATGACTCGGCACTTCGGCCCCGCCGGCTGCGGGGTTGCTGATTTATCGGAGGCGATCGGTTTCTCCCAAAGGTCTCTTCCCTATCATCGTCGCATACGTGTTCCGTGGGAGGCGAATGGACAGCGAGGGGGCAGGGGAAGAGAGAAAAATGCATCGCTAATATTTGTCGGCAAGGTGAAAACAGAGAAGAATGAGAGGAAGAGAACGGAAGACCTTACGACGTGTACTTGAAGAACCAGCGCGCACCAGCGCGGCTTACGAAGAGTAGGAGGGAGAGAACATCCGAATCGGTTTTACAGATACAGAATGGAATATCGGTTAACACGGAACATCGGTTAAACGCATCTCATATAGATCACATAGATCACGTAAATCACAAATACTCTTCAGCCTCGCGCTGTCTTATATCAAACAATGAGACTTGCGTAATCTTTCCTTTCGCGAGGAGGTTGGTCGACGCGAAGCGACGACGGACAAACAACAATGTGGCTGCCACGACGGCTGCCGCGGTCGCGGAAACTTGGCGCGCTCGACTACTTGCTTTTCTTCTTCCAGTGCGATGGCCTTACTATCGCGCTCTCGATCTCATCCTTGAAAGTCCCGTACAGCTCCGATATCTCCCGAAAGTCCTGCGGTGAGGCCAACGTCACTCTGAAAGAGAGAAAGAGAGGGAGACCGTCTTAATCGCCTTTTCTTCGTCGCATTCTTTTCCGCGCACTCTCGCAGTCGTGAAAAAAGAAAAAAAGGAATGATTCATCGTGCATCGAGAGAACCCGAGAATTCGTATTTTTTTTATTTCGGAGATTTCTTTGGAGATCGTTTGCGATTCCTCGACTGATTTCTCTCCTTTCAAGCTCATTGTAACGTCCTTTCTATTTAAACATCGATCTCCCGTTTGATTTCCAGAAAACAGGAAAATCGCTTTCAGTTGAGATCGCGGGTAATATCTTACGTGGAAAAACCGATCTTCAATTTGACTGATAGCTATAAAGAAAAAGAAGAGAAGCTTAAAATGAAGCTTTGGTTCAAGTACTTCAATTGAGGAACACTCAACGGTGGCAGGAAGCTCTTCACCACAGATGACACCTCACTGGGTTTCGACAGAGCGAGGCTGCTCGCACACAAAGTCGCGCTGGTGAGTTGTAGCACCAGGGAGGAGGTGTGATCGGAGCTGGAGGTGCTGCGGAAGACCTTCTGTATCTTCGACTTCAGTCCCGTCGACGGCGACGGCAAGCGACTCGTGGGTTGCAGTGTCACCTGTGCAGTTTACGTAGGATCTTTACGTCTTCCGCTCAGAAATATTCATAATACGCGAAGTAGCTTGAAATCAGTTCGTCACGACACGTACCTTGCCCTGCAACATTTTCATGGCCAATTCGGGCTCGCTGCCCCACCGGCAGGACGTTTGCTCCAGTAGACGATGTCTCGTGAATCTCTCGATCATTTCGGCGCACTCGTACCTGCTGCAAAACCTCGCCCACTGCCCGGCCCGCAAGCCCCTACCGTAGTCACGTAACGTAGGATTCGCACCTGGGGAATTGGCGCGACGACGTTTATGACGTGTGGAAGAAGTGTCTCTCGAGTGACGCTGTATGTCGACGCTGTATATCGCGTAGTCGCGCTTTACATGCGATGTTCGGATATTTTTTTTTTTTGGAATTTGGAGAGCGTTTAATCTCGTAACTGACATTGGAATTTTATGAAATTTTATTACCCTCTATTAATTCCCGTTAATCAGAGTCCCGATATCAAGTGAAACACGGGGTGCTAGAATCAATACTGCTAGAAGTGACGTTAATATCGATAACACTGCACATTCACAGCGATTGTGACTTTGTTTACTAATCGCGCTCGGCGAAAATCAGTTCGCGGCGAGGAGGATCGGCCGCGGAAACGGAAGCGTTGGTCCGCGAATCTAATCGGTCGCTTCAACTCACCGGCGAACAGGAGGATCTTCGCACAATTGATTCTGCCTTGAATGGCGGCCTTCATGAGGGGCGTGAGGCCCATGGTATTTCTGGCGTCCACCTCGATGTCGGGGCACTTCTGCAGGAGAATGTTGAGGCATTCGGCGTGTCCTGTCCGCGAACACACAAGAGGGAACTTGTGAACTGACATCACCGTACGCGCCGCGTACTCGTGTTTCATAATCCGCGCGCGGTGTTTTGGCACGAGGAACATTTCTCGGCGCGCGTCATCATCGCGTAGCTGCTACGCGCGCGTGTTGCCCGCTATTTTCGGCGCCTGTGACGCGACGGGAACTTCGTCGGCCGCGAAAGTCCGCGGATAGATTTGGCATTAGGCTCAGGATCGCGCGCGTTCCCGGCATTTTCTATCGGCCGTCTATCGCCGGATCCGCGAGGGCGAGCGCGAGCGCGCTTGTTATTTCCGCGCGTGTAAAAATATCGCGGGACTGATCGTCGGTTTCGGCGAATCGAAATTCGAACGTCTCTGTTTAACGATGTCTACGAGCTATCGTTTCTTCGCGAATCTCTCAAACTGATAAATTAGGAGAAAAAAATATACGTACCAGGAAAGAAAAGTTCCGTTAGAAAAAAAATAAAAATACGAAAGAAGTGTACGACAGACCGATTTTAACACTGTCGTTCGTTATATCAATATCTCCTCGTAGATACGTCGAACTTAGCCCGACATTGTTGTATGTTTATTCCTACGTTGAATCAATTAGCGCGAGGGGTATAAAATCCCTTCATTAAAATCCAAAGCCACGTGCGGCCGCCTACCTACGTGATCGCGCGGCCGAAAAGAAGCAGAGATAAACACGAGGGTGAGTTATGCTCTAAACCGGTTGAACGAATATAAAAGATTCTGGATGAAAACCGGCGCATGTCTCACCTTTGAACGATTAATCGTAGCAGCTTGCGTTCGAACGTCGATTGATGTAACACAAAGGGAGGATTCATACGTGGAGGGAAAGGCAGAAAACAGAAAGACAGCAGTGCCAATTACAAGTGGCGCTGATAGTCTATCCTTCTCTTCTCTCTCTCTCTCTCTCCTCTCTCTCCTCCCCCCCTCTCTCTCTCTCAAGAGAAGGATAGACTACCAGCGCGAGTTCTGATTGGCTGCTGTCTTTCTGCTTTTTGCTCTTCTGCCCAGGTGTGAATATACCCTAAGGGAAGATTTACATTTGGGAAAAAAATAGAAAGCAAAAAGGCAGAAACTAATCAAAATTCGCGCTGGTAGTCTCTCTCTCTCTCTCTCTCGTTCTCAAGAGAGAAACAGATTATTAGCGCGAGTTCTGATTAGTTTCTGTTTTTCTGCTTTCCGCTTTTTTCCAAGTATGAATCTTCCCTTATTCTTGCCATCTTCCCTATGCGAGCGAGCAACTACTACTCCCGTTTTTTACCGCTTTATGTTTTGCATCGAATTAATCTCTGCAACATGCCGAGTATAGCCGAGGAACATATCGATACATTCCGTTCTAATATGTGCCATTTATATTACAAGATACAACTGAAGTTTAAAAAGTCTTTTGTCTGTTCAAAAAGTCACCACATCTCTCAGCAAGGGATACTAAGAAATATGTAATAAGATTGAAGAGAAAATAATAATACGAAAAGAAAGCCGTAATAACCTGCCCGTGTGCGCGAGGAGAGTCTGGAGCTTAAATTCGAAACACGCTAGAAATCCACGCCAGAAGAGAAATCCAAATTCGACGGAATGCGCAGGCAGGCTTAATAATGTAGAATCGAAATCGCGGCTCGGAGCGCTATAGATGCTTATAGATTATGAGCCCGAACGAGCCCGATTAATCCTCGCTGCATGGTCGGCACGTTTCGCGATATTATGCGTATCGTTGTGCGCGCGTGTTGTCGATGGCACGTCGGCTCGTCCCACGTGGCTACACGATATATAATATATATTATTCGTAATACATATTACTCATAACACAATCACACTCACCAGCTTGGGCGGCGAAATGAAGCGGTGTGTTACCCTCGTTGTCGGGCAGATTGGGGTCCACGCCATCGAGAGAAAGCGCCATCCCCAATATCATCGGCGTGCCGTTCCCAGCTATGTGGCTTATGGCCGTCTGCAAGTCGGAAACAAATAATCACGGATTTCGGTCGGCTGGACCGACGAGACCGACAGCAGCATGCTTGTCGTTACGTAAGCTCGAGCTTTGCGAACAAAGCATGTTATTCACTGCTCGGCTCGCTCGGATCCGCGTTTGGCGGATCGCGCCAAATTGTCCTTCTCTCTTTGACCGTGACACGAAAAAAAGAGCCGCGCGACTCCACGACGTTATATGAATGAATCAATTGATGAATTAAAGCGACCGCGTCGCGGCGCGTGAACTCGGCGCCGTCGGGGAATATCGGGCGTTGGGCGTTCGCTTCATTCATTTCTCCAGCGACTCTTTCCCAATGACTCGACTCGCTTTTCCGATCGACGAGAGACAGACGAGAGATCGCTGCTCTGACGTCGAGCCGCTGCAGCGTGTTTTTCACGCGCTCCGCGGTGTAATTTAATCGCGGACGCACCTTCTCGCGCTATTCACCCGTCGTGCGCTCGACTGACGGGCGCGCGAGCGCGACTATGTTGAAAACGACGTGAGAATCGCGTTTTACATTCAGGACGGAGACACGTGCCCCCCGCCCCTCCCCTCCCCCGTAGGTGAGTCTTGCCGCTATTGTCCGCCGACTTGCTCGACGACGACGACGACGACGACGACGACGAGAGCGGGACGAGACGCACAATGGGCTATCCGTTAAGAATCAATTTATTAAGTGGCTATTGACGCCGGCACGTTATTGCTTTACTTGCGTCAGCCAGTGCGCGCCAGTATGCAAACAGATGTTAAAACACTGGCTGTGCTAACAAATGCTCGGGAGAAGAAGAAGAAGACGCATTTGCCTCTGGAACAACGTTCGCACGCCGCTCGTAAACGAGAATCGACAAACACGCGAGTTCTATTTCGTTCGTTACAAACGAAACTGCGCGAGCTCTCGCCGGTCCGTCGGCGGCGCGGCGGCGACGACGGCGGCGTCACAATGAGATTTTTCAACGCCTCCTGTCGCGTGCTTTTACTCTCTGTTGATTCTCTGTTTATTCTCTGATCGCGCTGCCTAATTCAGGGTGAGATTGAAATTGCGTCTCAGCCGCTCGTAAATATTTTGTCGGTTTTCGGAGCGGTAAATATTTAGGTCGGGCTCCGTACTCTCGAGAAGTCTTCGAGTAAAATTGAACCGAACCGAGACGCTCGAATTTCAGTGTGGAGAGAATCATCCAGCTTGAATGATCGAATGAATATTTTTGAAACTCTAAACTACATGCTCGAAGTTGCAATTGAAACAGTCGACGCTGAAGAATGAATCGGATATATTCTCCAGCGTTATCGGAACGTCCGATCGATTGAAACTCGCATTGAGAATCCACTCTGAGTGTTACATTCGTTCTTATGGCTCTGGATAACAGTACCTCCACGATTGCTCCAGGCAGAATTTCACTTTCGTTTTGAGCGAGAGATATTTCGCTACGGACAATGTCCAAGGTGACACAACTGCGACATCAAGGTATCCGTCATTAATAACGACTGATCTGTCTAAATGTCGGCGTCTTAGAGCGGCTCCCGGTAAGTCGCGGCGCACGTTCTGACCTCGCGCGGATCCTTTGCAGCCTACTTGAGTCACCGTCGATGATCCGCTTAAGGTTACTAATCGCGGTTTGGAGCGCCAAAAAATATCGTTTTCACGGAATTTTTTACGGAAAAAATGGTTGACAATATCAATTTCCTGTTTACACCAATGTATTATTTATATTCTCAGCAATAACCACGAATTTTCATACGGCGGAAAAGTATTGAGCAATTGAGAAATCTGCATCGGCGACAGACGTGTTTTTGTTTCAGGGTCAACACGCAACTGTCCGCTTTATGCGATACGTACTGCGTGCGTGCGTGCGTGCGTGCATGACAGCGATCGATCGCGAGCGGTAAGTTGCGAGCGACGCGCCGCGATTCCGCGCGCTCGTTCTTTCCGGTCCATGCGCGCGACCTTAGAAGCGGCCGTCACAATTAACCGGGACACCTACACGCTTCCCAGGGTCCCCGACCTTAATGCGAGTCCGCCACGGCGACTCCGCGAAGGCCGCTCGCGTTCTAAACACGACGGGAAGCGCTCGGACGAAGGCGAAGGATCCGACTTTAATTTAGCGCGTACGATTCGCACGCGGTTGCACGCGGAATGCGGTCAGCTCCGAGGAAAAGTCTCCGCACGCGGATTGTGCGAGATCACGAGCCTTCGACCTGATCCCGAGATGCGAGGGAACGTGAGGAACGCGCGACGGTCTCGGGGAGAATTTCCTGAGACGTAAAGTAGGAAAAACCTGAACAAAATGCGAGAGACATACGGCGTCCCTCGCGAGGAATCGTCTCGGCCTTGTCCTCGAATGTGAGCAGCCGCCACGTTCGACGGTGATGAACCCGAGTCGTCGCACCGTCGTCGTCGTGTTGTTGCCACGAGACGTGGCAAACTTTTCGCGTCGAGAGCATCGGCCGAAACAACGCAAATTGCAATCAAGTCGTCGCGACACGTCGTTTGTCTACGATTTTCGTCGCTTGGCTGCGTTATTTGTCGCCTCTTCTCTTGCGCCTCTTTCAGAGCGAAGCCTCTCCTAAATTCCCTCGCGATATTCGGCAGCTTTTTCAAGTTAAGGGGACTGGAGAGTCAGATTAGTGAAAAATCGTACTTGTTTTCGATAATATTTTGTGATGAATTGAATAAATGTGCAAGAATGAAGATTTTAGATATATTTATATAACATATGAAGAGTAGAAAAATTTTGTTTATTAACAAATACTCGTCATATAAATATACGTCCACCTAAATTTTAAACGCGTTTTTCTTGAAATTTGTTCAACTTTTTGCAATGATTTCTCCGAAACTGAGCTTCGTATCGTATTTGAAATTTTAAAGCAATAATATTTGTTCATCTGGCTCTCAGATGAACCATGGACAATTACGTCAAAATATTTCATTTCGAGATATTAATTTTTTTTATTGTAAAAGGATTGAAAAATTGGGATGTTTTCCTAATAATAGCTGCCATTTTGTTAATTTTGTTCGATTTTTTTTCGTAGTGGTTCACCGGATAATGATAAGCCTCCTCAAGATTTCTAGCTAAAATTGGCTCCGATCGGACCATCGAGAGCCGAGATATTACTGCAAAAATGACAACTTGAAAAAAAAAGGAGAGTATATTTCAGCTATATATATCGTATATTTATATGGATATTTGTTAATAAACAAAATTTTTCTACTCTTCATATGTTGTGTAAATATATACCTAAAATTTTCATTCTTGCACATTTATTCAGTTCGTCACAAAATATTATCAAGAACAAGCACGATTTTTCAGCAATCTGACCCTCCAGTCCCCTTAAGGGGGGAAACCTATCTGCCGCATGTAATTCCCCCTCCTTAGGATCGCAAGCTTGTAAATATTGATCGTAAACGAAATTCTTAACGAGGAGAACGACCTTTTACACTTGTTATGAAATATATCCTGCCAATTTTTACTTTATCGCCTCGCTTTTGCCCTCGAAGTACAAGTAATCTTACATCTCTCTCGGGGCGCGATTTTACGCGCGGTTTGCCACAGAAGCGGCGACAGGGTCGAGCGACGCGCGCGGACAATTGGGTATTTTTCCATCGGGCGGTGTGCAACGGGGGCCTCGTGCATGTGGGGGGCACTAATGAAACCTCCGTCGGAAGCGTGGAATTTTTATGTCGAATCGCGTCGCGTCGAGTCGGAAAATCACCACGATAACGACGACGACGACGACGACAAGCACAAAACGCGCTCGAATTCTCGCATCGATTCTCCGCTGAATTCGCGCGCCAACCTGAGCAACTCCGGCAACAGCCGGAAAGCAGTCCGATTAATTGTACGGGAGTTTCGTCAGCAATTAGAAAAGTTGCCCGGGCATCGTGCTAATTGCGCCGATTATCTGATCGAGGTGTACCGCGGTGCGAAGCAGCACGAAACAAAACGCATTATCTTTAGGTCGCGATTCAAGGATTTTCCGAGATGAAGGAGGGGATGTAAAAAGAAAAAGCATCTACAGAAAAACCGGAGATTATTGATCACGATCGCGTGATTGTTTTCGTGTTTTTGTTCTTCTTACAAGGAAAGGGTCGGAACTGTCCCTCGCCGATTTTCATGGGCTTTGGATATGTTTTAGAGCAACAAAAAATATTATATGCGCATTTTTTTTATGGGTGTATTTCAAGGTTTGGAGGGTGAAACAACCCGCGAGACAGATCGTTTGGAAGAGCGAGACTCGCTGCTCATCGACGGACATATCGCCGGAATCCCGGGGGCGACTTAAAAATAGACCCGTTCGACGGCGAAATTTGTTTTCCGTTGTCGCGTTCGACTCGCGCGCGCGACCCTAATTGCGCTCTCATCGATCGCGATTCGCGCCCGTTAATTACGGACCGCCGGCCTTTCCAATCCGCTAGACTCGTTTGAAGCCGCGCCGTTTGATTCAGTTTCGCGGGAGAATTCCGAGCGAACGATCGATTCGATCTGTTCTGAGGGCAGTTTGCAGATCGTTGCCAACTTCGTTGCACAGATCTCAAATGGTCTCGTTGCATTGAGAGAAAAGTTATGTTTAATCTCGCTGAAATCACATCGTCGGCGCAGAACTGTATTTTTTTTTTCTTTCTTTTCGTCACTCAGAAGAAAAGCGATAACGAAAGTTGCAAGGTTATTATTGCTTCGTCACTTGTAGCGAAAGCGATTTTCCCAACGCCCGCGATTATTTCACAATGCGATTACAGCGACAGACGTCGTTTTCTAGTGCAAATCACCGGATAAATCTTCCCCTCGCGTATTATCTCCCTCCGACTCCCTCCTACCAAGTTTGATGCGAGATTCGCAACTTTTCCACTTCCCCGGGTCGCGCGCGCGCGCGACGGCAGGATCGACGACACAAAGGGCGTCACAGGGTAATACCGTCAATTGCATTATGGGACGCGACGGCCAATTAACGAACTAATTGGATCAATGAGAAAATCTCCGCTCACCCTGCCGTTCCTGTCGACCGTGTTGATGTCTATGCCCTTGAGTCCTACATTCCGGATGTGCCCTATGATTTCCTTGAGACCCATGTTGTTCGCCTCTTTGGCGGCCATCAGAAGGGCCATAGGGCCCACGGAGGGTGTCTTCCACGAGGATGATACTTTCGCTTTAGTCGTTTCTTCGTATGCGCAGTCTGCAAGATTTACGATGGCTTCGTTAATATTACCTTAATGCCTCGGCGGCTAAATCCGCCGCGTACGCGAGCGCGAGGTAAGCCTTATCGAGTTACTCGCGCAAACTGGTGAACTGGTCTAACTGCATCGGTTCCAAGCCTGCAGAGGGTAATTCACCGCTGAATAATAATCCTGTTTTATACGACGCAGCCGCCGCTGCCGCTCAGAATCGGCATCTATGTATTATCCTAAATCGCACGCGGTCCCGGTAGCGCGTAATTAGCGCGGCTCCCGCGTCCTTGAATTATTTGGGATTGTTTATTTCACGGCACGGATCTCTTCGTCTACCTTTGTCTCTCTCGTGCGCGCCGGTGAGCGCGATCTGCCGCGATCGTTTGTCTCGGTCTCGATAAGGTGCGCCGACGTGGAATGCAACGAACGTTTATCGAGACTCAAATCTCTTATCAGCTCTTATCAGCTGGCGCCGGTTTTGTCGTGGCTCGAAGTCACGCGTCGCGGGATCAATTCCTCGACGTTGATAAGCGCAACACGAGTACAGGTGGAAAATTCGGAATCCCCGAGTCAACAGCGATCATATTGGCCGCGTATTAATTAACTCCACGCGGCAGTTAATCCGATTACCGATCCACGCTAACGTCAGCAGAAGCGCACCAATGGCTTCGCTGAAGAACTGACCTTCAACGAAAGAGAGTAGTCGATTCTGTTCGCGACCGATCTTTATGATAAAAAAGAACTTACTTTACCGGCCAAGGTAAACGTTCCGGCCGATGTTCAGTTCGACCGACTTTATTAAAAAAATAAATAAAAACTGTATCCGCTGAGACGCTGAGAGAAAGTCGATCGACTTGTTGTTGTCAAGAGCGATCTTGATTTCTTCGAGAAGAAAACACATCTGAAGAAACATATTTGTCGAGCCGAATGTTAGTTTTATAAAGTGGAAAGTGAGATGCGTGGTCGAGAAACTCGAGAACTCGAGGAGGAGGAACGGAATCAGCGAGCTCATCAAAGAGACTCACCTTGAAGCACACCTTTGCGATAGATCATGGCCTCATGAACGGCAGACTGCTTCCGGTAGGGCGCGCGTTTCTCCTGGAAGCTGGTGTCGGAGCTGAAAGAGACCGATTTCTTCACGCCCACGGCGCCCTTCTTCCAGCTGGTCGACAGCGTCCGCACGCTGGGCGAGCGCTGCAGTGCGCACAGTTTCGCGTTGCTGTCGCCGCTCGACAAGATCGAGAGGTAACTCTTGAGGCCGGTGTGCTTCGACGACGAGGCGCGTGCGAGCTGGTAGCCGTTGTCGGACGGCCGAAGGAACCTGGCCGCGTCGTCGTCCGAATCCGGCGAGTTGCGCTCGGCGAGTCGCTTGCTGGAGGGATGCGCTAGGCTCGCCAAGAAGGCGGAAGACCTCTTGAGAATCCCGTCCTTCGGCACCCGCTGCAACGTTCTCTCCCGCGCTGGAAGACCCGAGAGTGTGAGTGGCGAACGCTCGGCCGAACGAACTCTCGCTATATTTGGCCGGTGTCATTTCTCGCCCCGCCTCGCGCGCGCGACGCCGGTCGCACGCTTAAATAGACGACGACGACGACGACGACGACGACGTGTCCGTCCGGCCGGCGACACGCGGATGCTGCGCGTCGCGTTGTTTGCGCGCGCGATGATAAAAGTACCGAAACGAGCGAGAAGAATGATTCGCGCGCGCGCGCGCGGATTGCGTGAGCCCCGGCGGCACGACGTCGGGATTCGCGTGTGCACCCCGCGATGCACACGAATGCAAATCAAAAGGCTAATTTCCAGCCGGTTTTGTTACAGCCTCGAGGAACACAGCCGGCGCCGCGAGACCATGACGTGCGCGACGCGTGTTCGGCTTTCGTTACCGGTAGAAATTGAAATCCGGGACAGAAATGGGAGCGAATGCTGGCACGAGCCAGTAATCGCGTAAATCGCGCAAATCGCGGAGTCGCCGTTGCCCTTTTGCCGGGAAGTCGCGAAACGCGACTCTTGCTCTCTCTCTCTCTCTCTCTCTCTCTCTCTCTCTCTCTCTCTCTCTCCCTCCCTCTGTCTCAATGCGTGATTTCGGGGACAGAACGCGACGCTCCTCCCGATGTTGATTTAATTCTTCTTAATTTGGTGATACGGGCACACGTGCACTTTCTCCGACGAGGGAACAATGAGAGAAAAACGGGTGAAAAATATGTGTGTGATCCGCCTTCCTTGCAAATCATGATTAAGAGAGCCGTGAGCGAGTTTCCGTTACGTTACCGCCGCTTTCTCGTTAGCGGCGACTCCGACGGGACGAGTCACGAAAGAACAAAATATCACTCACGCACGTCATCGTCGGTCCTATCTACCTACGGCCGAGCGTAATCGTATATAAATGGTACAGAAAATTCTCCATCGGAGGTAATCGCGTGGCAAAATGCCGCGTATTTGGGACGGTAAACAACTAATTACAGGTTAACTCCCAGCGACAGCTCCCACCGGGATAGAACGCGGGGAAGAAGAAAGGCCGGCTATACTTGGCCGCGTGGTCGGCAAGGGAAGATCGAGCCGCGAATTTACTGAACAGCAACGGGAACTCCACGGGTCGTCGTGCAAGATGATCGGATTTCACGGGCGCGAGAGTTCGCCCGAGGCCAAAGTTCGGGGTCGGCCAAAGAAAATCGGTCGCATTTCGTCAGGAGAGCAAGAAAAAGAGTCGAAACTTTCGTCTTTCAGCCGGAGAACGAAACGGAATTCGTCCTCTGCGGAAGACGACCCTGCGAGCCTCGCGAGTCGCTAAGAAGGAGAATCACGCGCGACGTACCTTCCTTCAAGTCCTTCGGCACGGACGCGGACTTGATTATTCCGCGGTGAATGCCGCGCGAGACGCCCGACCTCGTGCCAGTCGTCGACGTGGTCGTCTCCTTGGACGCGTCCTTCGCCTTCCGGCTCTCTTCGGCGAGGATGCCGCAGCGAGCAGTCTCCTCCTTGGAGTGGATCCTCCCGTTGACGATCGCTGCTGACGTCCGTTTTTTGCTGGTGACGTTGGTCGTCGTTTCACTCGCGGCGCGGTTATTTCGAGCGAGTTCGCCTCTAGACGCGACGATGCTGTAGTTGTTAACCACGCAGCAAGCAGCGGTGCCCGACGTGCACTTTACGCGTCTGCGTGGTCCGTTTTCTTGCCACCTGGCCTGCTCCTCGAGGATCCGTCGAACTTTCTGCCGGGCGCACAAAAGGATTCGCAATTAGTCTCGGCGGGGGAAGAGGCCGTCTAGGCTGGAGGAAACTTTGAAAAAATCCAAAGGAAAGAAAACCGAGGATCCGTCGGCTCGAAGCGCGTCCTAGCTCGCTCGTCGCTCAAGTCAATGTTCAACCCTGGCCATTTTTGCCAACCCTGGCAAAATTCGACCCAGGCCTTGAATATATTTTTTAATCGCACGAGTCTTTGTCTGTCGTTATTCGAACTTGAAGAATACTTTCGTGAGACGCGGAGACATCGTCGACCTATCGACGAGCTGCACGTGTCATTGTCGACGCGGCTTATTTTGCACTTCACACAGTTCACCAGTTATCCGGTCGGAATAAAAGAAAAAGAAAGAAAAGAGATCGCGAGACAAGTCGCACGCACTTCTCAAGGGACAGTTCGCCCCTCGCGCGATCCTCTCGATCCTCGACGTCACCGATCACCCGATCGATAGCTCGCTCGCTCGCTCGCTCGCTCCAGCCGCGCGATCCTCCTCGGAAAGCGACTCGCGCCTTCCTGATGGGCTCGCGAGAGAGTTCTAGCGGCTCTCTTTAAACGCGCTATTTATATGTCAGTTAAGCCCGCGCGTCGGTCGGTGCCTCGTATGCGCAAATACACACACGCGTCATTAACGCACGAATGTGAGCCACGTTCGCGTCGCCCTTATACGTTCACGAGAGCGTCTTCGTGTGATCCACCCGCTCGCGCACTTAAGCGCATCCGGCGCTTCCGGAAGCTCTGCGAAACGATGAATAAGAAATATATCGCAGCGCTCGATGGAACATTCGCGATCGAATCTTCGAAGCTGAGGATCAAGAGGAATGTTTTCGAAAAATTGCGGACGGGAAATCCCGTGTTTCTTCTCGAGGAAGAAACATATCAAATCGGAGTTCTCCGGCTCAAATTTACTGTTACCGTGACTGTGAAGGGAAAATTCGCACGGCTATCTTAGGCTCGCCGCAATTGAAGCAAAGCCGGTCCTCGTTGAAGTTAATGCGATAAGAAGGAGAGTCGCGTGAAAACACACTCGCTCTCAACGCACACGTCGAAATAATACGCTTTCGTTCCCGATCGTACAAAATCGATGTCGTGTGTGCAAGATCGAGATAAGAGGGAGAGGGGAAGAGAGAACAGGAAAGAAAGAGAGACGCACACCTTCTCTCAGACAGATCGCGATTCAGATCGCCTGGCACCGCGAAGACGCCAATGAAGCAGCGAGTCTCCCGTTATTGCGCCATATGTATCGCCGCCGCCGCGTGCATACCGATACGTACGCGACGTGCACGCTCGTCGAGCCACACGTCGTCCGTCTTGTTCCGTATTATTTTTCCCCCGTCTTTTACCACCGCCCGTGATCGTACAATGTGGCCGGCGCGCGACTTCTCTCTTGCTCGTGCGGCCGTTCAATGACGCGTGCGAGAGATACCGAGCGCGGCGCGTCGACATTTTGCGGAGGAGTCGCGCGTCGCGAGATAGACTGCTACTCTTCCGAGGCCGCGAGACGTCGCGCGACCGAGCCGTCGATGATACGCGTCGTCGACGTATGAAAACGAGGATGCGCGATGCGAGAGAAAGGGAGAGACGGAGATGAAAATAGAGAGGTAGAGAGAGAGAGAGAGAGAGAGAGAGAGAGAGTGAGCTTACTTGCTGAGTGGTCGGCTTTACAGTGGAGACGATGTTGTTGTCGCTCCCACTGGTAATGCCGCTGTTGATCATGGACGTGGTAGTGGTTTCATTGCTCGCCGCGAGCTTCACCCTGCGGTTACCCACCATCGTCGAAGATTGACTGAAATCCGTGAGAGGCTGGAAAAAAGGTATCGCCAGTTCGCTTGAGAATGTGATAATTTGTCGTTTTTTTCTTCTTTTTTCTGGTGTCAGGTGAATCGGAGAACGATATTTTTTCTCGCGGGCGCGGCGCGACGAGAACTGCGTTCAACGGCGAATTATTGTCCTCGCTTCTGCTTTGGATCGGTACCAAGTGCTCCTGAATTTTATGTCTTTGTACCATGACCGAGTCACGATACGAAGACGTAAAATTCGGGAGAGAAGAGCGCACGCACGCGGTTAATCGATAAAATCGCCCGATGAACGTTGGGCAGGATTTCATCGATCGGGATTAATCCGTCGGTCGCGAGGGACGGCCAAGGGAGCGGCTGAACGAAGACTATAATACAGACCGAAAAGCGCGCTTTCGTGGATTCTTATCGGTAAGACCTCGGGACCGGCTGCTTTGTGATGCAAATGTTTGCTGAAGCAATATCTTCTTTTCATCATCTCGCACAGCCCTTCGTCACGCGCTTAGAATCACACAGAACGCGCTATAGACAAAGCTAATTGGACAGACTTTTCAATTTCTTCTTGTCTAATGTTCTTCTTACTTTTCAGATCTCTTTTATTTAACCCTATTCCCTGCTAAAGGCGTATATATACACCCTCACAAGTCGGTCCGTATACACGAAAGGCGTATCTATACGCTCTCACAAGTCTATCAATATATACGAAAGCCGTAAATATACGCCATCTACGTTTTTCTTACTTGTAACATTTTAACTGTCTTAGAATATATCACTCACAAATTAATTATTAAATTATTTCTACTATCTCTATTTGTTTATGTCTTTGTTCTCATTGTGTTAAAATTGTCAAAATAAATTTGTTCCTCATTATCAATTTTGCATTCTTTTCACGAATTATTATTGAAGGAATGTGCAAATTAAGTAAATTAAAAATAGCTTAGAAAACCACTTAAAATAGATCAAATACTGGATATTTTTAATTTATTTGCAATTATTTATTTTTTCAACCCCTAAGAATAGTATCAAATCTCCAAATACTGTTTTGGTATCAGTAGTCAGTGGACAACCAGCCGCAGAGACTGACATGTGAATATCGCGCCGTCTGTATCGATGGTTCGTTCCGAAAGTGCGCCGCAGCGAAAAGGTTAACCAAATGATCAGTCGGGTGTCGCGCGAAATATCTCTTGTATTCAAACGATTGCATCGTACGTTTTTCGAGGATTCTGGCCAGAGCGAGCGACCCTACCTCTTCGCCTACCTATCGATCAAAAGGAGGAATTTCAATTCCCACTCGTTCGTTTGTTCGTCCGGCCGTTCGTTCGCTCGTTCGTTCGGTGTTTCTAATCAGGCAAATGCTGCAGTTCCGATGGAAACGCGTTTCGCGAACCGAATTGTTTTTTTTCTTCCCGTTGCCTCCGTTAACTTTACGGCCGGCGGAAATTGCTGCAAATCCGGGGCGAAAAACGAAAAGCGGGCAAGGCGATCCCAAGCGAGAAGCTGAGAACGACCTCACACGTAAAATCGCTCGCACGTAAAATCGCTCGCTCGCCTTCGTCTTTTGGACGCGCGTATTTGTACATGGTTATTTCGGCGCCGTAATTTTACACGGTACCGCGCTATCAGCGTGTGCGATTCCTGGCCGCCTGCCAATATTTGAAATTTTCCAACGTACCAGCTTATGATGTAAGAATATAAGGGCTGCGTTCGGAAACGTCACTCGGGTACATTTGCTGCGTTGGGGTGAGAGAGACATAAAAATGAGATAAAAAGGAGAGAGAGAGAGAGAGGGTATACGAGTGACGTTTCCGAACGCAGCCAAGGTGTATCATTGCGCATAATGGCTGCCGAATATGGAACAAGCAGTGAAATTTTGCCCCTGAAAGTTGCGCGAGATTCAAATGTAGTATATGAAAGTTAGACCATAAATATTGGTCTAAAATGCCGTGTAATTAATTATACAAAAGTAATCAGAAAAAGGTGAGTGTATAAAAATGATGAAGATATTAAGAATAAACTTATTGTATATAACATAGTATTTTATTAGATAAATTCGTTCCCTTTATTACAAATTTTATTAAGTTTCTTAGCTTTTTGCTTTAATATATTATTCTGCGCAATATCTTCAATAAAATATTTTTCAGGCGTATATATGTTCGTGCTTAGGTTTAAAGTAATTTTTCGTACTTACACGGTTAATTGATATACACATAGACACACGCATTTTTTATAATTTATGTAATATTCAATTAAATAGATTTATACCTCAAACACTTCTCTTCACTTCATTCAACGGCTCGAACACAAAATAATTCTGACCGTATTCTGTGCGTATCTCCAGTGACTGACACTTGTTAGACTATCACTAAGGTTGACACAAAAAATTGTTACCCAACCTACAGGAATTTGGAGACAATCGCTGATTGGTCAACCACTGCGCATCCTCGGGAATGATGCACCTTGGGGTGCGTTCCGTTTCACGCATATGCGAGCATTTTTTATAGTACACGTGACATAAACTATAGATAAATGCGCGCATATACGGAATGCAACCTTGTATTCTTACATCATGTACCAGCTTATCTGAATCGGCGCGGGGAAACTGTGCGCAGCAGCCGATTGTCGGAGGAAGAAAATATCACGGAATTTCAGCACTCATCGCGTTTCTCTTCTCCGTCCGTGGACTCCAATCTGTGTGCAAGCGCGATTAACGTGAAAAGAATAAAATTCAGATTTTTTCTCTCCGCTGCGTTCAGTTACACGGCGACTTGTTACATAAGTGCCGGTCACGCGTTGCGCACGAGGGGAACTACTATTGTGATAAAAAAATAAGGTGAATTTTTCATTTAAACTTCGCGGGTACCATAAAATCATGAAATTATTTTTTGGTGGGTTGGTAGCACTGTCTTTGACATCTATGCAGAGTTTCATGTCAATATATTCAATTGCTGCAGAGCTATACGTGTTTTTGTAAACATACCAAAAGTGAGTTTTTCGATTTTTACTATGTCTGATTTTGTTGAGCAAAGAATTTGCATGAAATTTTGTTTGCCGAATGAATATTCTGCCGCGGAAACGTTGAGGATGTTGCAGAAGGCCGGAAGGTGATAAGGCTATGTCGCAAAAAAATGTTTACAAGTGGTACAAAGATTTCAAAGAAGGCCGAGAACGAGTTCAAGACGAACAGCGCCCCGGACGACCATCAACATCTACCGATGAAAGCCACGTCAAGGAAATCAAACTGTTAACAAGGAATATTATTTGAGTGTTATGCGTCGTTTGCGTGAAGCTATTCGCCTCAAGAGGCCAGAATTATGGGCAGACAATTCTTGGTTTTTGCACCACGATAATGCACCGTCGCACACTGCATTGGTTCTTCGAGAACATTTCGCCAAAAATTCGACCCATATCGTTCCACAATCACCGTATTCGCCTGATTTAGCACCATGCGACTTCTGGCTGTTCAACAAACTCAAAAGACCGCTCCGGGGACACCGTTTCGACTCGATTGAGGAGATAAAAGCCTCCGAATCGAAGAAAGTATTGAAGGCCATCCCGGAAAAAGACTTCTCTGACTGTTTCGAGGATTGGAAAAACCTTGGCATAAGTGCATTGTGTCGGACGGGGAGTACCTTGAAGGCGATGCAATTGATTTGGAAGAATAAATAAAGATTTTTCATTTTATAAACAAATTCACCTTATTTTTTGATCACAGTAGTATGAACGAACGCGCTCGCGCGATTGAGTCCTCGTCGGGAAACATTTGATCGTCAAACAGTCCATCATTCGCGCGGGAACAGCTCGCGCGCACTGGCTATGGCCAGCTTATCGGCGACGAATGGGCGTTCGCGAGTTAACAACGCTAATTAACGCACGACCGGGCGTCCGCGGCGTGTCGGCGGAGTCCCGGAGATCTCGCCTCGCTACGCGAGAGTCGGACGAAACTGGCACGAGCCGACTACATGGTAAATGGGCTTCGGAGTTATCGTCCTAGTTATCGAGTTTTCGTCGCTCGATTCCGCCGCGTTCGTTCCCCCTGAATAGACCGTTTCATGTCCAAACAATTGTGCCGCTCTCTGTGAAAGCTTCCGTCGGTGTCGGCGCGACGTACGAACAATATCGGATGCTGTAAAATACGACGTTCATGCATCTGTCCCGGTAAGCGTTCCTCCGTACGGCGGGGGGATGATCAATGCCCGGAATAGTGATCGCCGTTTGTCACGGGGGTGCTGAGAGAGAAAGAGAAGCAAAAACAAAAAAACTGCGTGGTAGGAAAAACGAGCGGCTCTATCTCTTCCTCTCTTGCGTCGAGCCGCGACGAATCTCGCCGCTTTTGGCATTTCGCGACACACGCTGACGTTTGTTCGTTCGTTCGTTCGTTCGTTCGTTGGCTCGCGCGAACGCGTTTGTACCTCGGAAATCGCACAGCCGTGCTGTTCGCGCGCGCGCGCGATAAGAATGGCTGATTAATCAAAGAGACGTGGCGTTATCGCGACAACGGATAGTCACGGTGGCGCGCTTAAATGTTATTATATCTTGCCAGCTTGCGGCTAAAATTTCAATGACCTGACGTCAATCGATAGACACGCTCGGAGAACACGTTCGCTCGGTCGAATTCGGAAAAAAACAAATGGCCGCGCGGGGCATCGTTCAATTCGGAATTCCCTGCCGTCGGAATCGCGGGAGGAAGAAACAGACAGAAAATCGAGCATTGTCGCGGCCGACGGCGATCGCAGTATATATCGCGTGTGTCGTTGCCTTCTTTCTCCCAAAAATCACTTGCTCAAGTGCACTTCCGCTTGCACTTGTATTAATATTAATATTGTTGATACGCAACTACAGCTCGCGATCTTGATGAATTTGCCGCACCGTCTCTCACGTACGCAAGCGTCATTTTTCCTCACGCGCTTTACGCACCGTAGAGTTTTAAGTGGTAAGGTGTAAAAGCTTTTCCGGCCGATGAAGAGAGAGAGAGAGAGAGAGAGAGAGAGAGAGAGAGAGAGAGAGAGAGAGAGAGAGAGAGAGAGAGAGAGAGCGAGTGAGAATAAACGGCCGAGATATCAGGTCTCTTCTCCTTTTCTTTCCTTACGACGCACACTGGAGACGAGCGAGGTGCGTCAGATGCTCTTAGAAGCGTCGCGAGTACACTCGCGGATTAACGAGAGCTTCTTCTCGCACGGAGCGAGCAACCGGGATTAAAGGGTTACATACACCTAGAAGGCCGAAAGACAGACCAAATTTTGATATTTTATTCCTGCTGAATGGGTAGTGAAAATTACATGAAATTTTGTGTCATTATAGACTTTTGACAATATAAAAATACACATATATATATCATTAGAAAGTTGCGACGGGAAAGAAATATGGACGCCATATTTAACGAAGAATTTAGATAAAAATATGGGCGCAATATTTTCGTCTTTCTGATATGTCTTCTGTTATTTCTTTTTTTTAATGAAGGTCGACGAAAAAAGTGAGATTGTCAACGACAAAAGAGAGCTTCTGAGAGTATTATGTAAAAATTTGAGAACGATCCATCGATTGGTTTTTGAGATATCGTGTCCACCGTCTTTGAAAACCGTGTTTCGAGAAAAACGCGTTTAAAGTTTCAAGTTTAGTTCAACTATCGTTAGCAGCAGAATTTTACAATTTACCTCTAGTCGGCAATTCCGGAGCCACATGAAGTACCTTCCACATCAGTAGCAGCATCGCTACACGAAGACTTCTGTTGATGGCGAGCAATTCTTCCTTCGCGCGTCGCCTCCTGCTCTCGCACTTCGGCCACATCCATGCGCGCTCGGTCTTGATATCCGGCACAATTGCGACCAATATTGATTTCTAATGCATGCATTATTAATAAATATGCGACAGCACCTTCATTAAAAGTGCATGCAGCAATATTGGAAGGAATTTGCACAATGTGTGCACCGCTGTGCTGTACTTTTGGCACTATGCGCCAAGTCAGATTGTTCATATTCTCATTAACATTTTGCGTAAATCCACCGACGCATCTCTCTAGTAAATTGTCACTCGAAAGTTGTTCATATATTGAACGAATGACTTTAATCACATCATCGTGCATCGGTGGTTTATGTTGACATTGCTGACCGTGCCCAAACTTCCTTCGGCCTTTGGTCGCTGCCACGAGCACCACGAGTCTGATCCTGGAGGGTAATTTTCATAACGAGCCTCTTCATTTGTTGACGATTTGTGATGCAATGTAGACCATATATTGCATCCTTGATTTTTATTACAGAATCGCAATTCCGTCTAGCGAAGCCATAATGTACTGTAGGTTTATCCATGAGCTTCCCGGTCAATTTTCACAGTTTTCTCTTTTTCCACGTACGCAGAAGGGAACATCGAACAATAAAGATCCGAAATCAGAAGCCTCCAGAAACATGCACACACAGAAGAATGCCGTGTTCGTGAGGGTGACCACTGGCCACGTCAGATAGCAGAATTTGAGCGCTCGAACGCTCGATCCCGTTTAACTCAACTCTCTATAACTTCGCCATTTTTACAGATATCGACACGAAATTTTCAGGATATATTCTCGAAACTTGAAGCTTTAAGAAAATGTAAAAAAAATCGATTTTTTTTACCCTGCTAGGTGTATGTAGGTATGTAACCCTTTAATGCGCCGGGAGATCGACCCTCGCCGATTCGACATCGAGAGATCGATATTCCTGATGCACGTAACACGGGTCTGATTTATAAACGGCGAGCGTCCTTTCGGCCGCCGTAACTCCATCAACCGGGAGCGTCAGTGATGCGACACGCCGGCCGGCCGGCCGGCCGGATGCCCGGTCTGATTGACTTTCAGACGTGTATGCGTTTTCTGACATTGATTGATTGTACCACATGAGAACTCGTCGCCGTTGGCGGAGCCAGGCTATACACAACGTATGTAACATCTGTGCTCGAAAGCCCGAGCCCCAATCAAATATTATTATGAAAATAATAAGATTCGTCTTATCGCGGCGAAAGACGCGCATTACTCCGTCAGAATCGCGCACGATATATGTCGAATGGTGTCGCCGTGCGATCGGCAACTCGAGTTCGCGAGCGACCGTGAAAATACAACAATGTGGTGCCGAAATTTCTTGCGACTCTTTCTTCACCTCGGTAAAGTTGGTTTAATCTCGCTCAACACAAGTAAACTTTTATTCAGAGCGATTCAAAAGCCAAGATGACCAATCGGAATCACAAGAGTGTCACTGAAGCTTGCTATTCTATAATTCATACGAGTGAATGTTTCTGGCTGAAGATTCAATCGCCAATGTTTTTCTCTCTTCGTGATTCCTCGATGTACACTGTTGGGTATTTCTGTGATTGGAACATTTCCAATTTGCGATTCTGCCCTACAATTAAACATAGCACAGTGGAAAAAACCTTAGTTTCACTTGTCTTCTGAGCCTCTAAATTTCTTGGAGTGAAAAAAAATGAACATTTGCTCAAAATAGACTCTGAACGAAAATATTGACTCGGCGATTCAAAATACGCTCTATATGAGTGTGGAATCACTCGAATATGCACGGCTGTCCATTATTCGAGCGGAATTTCACTTGAAGGAATTCAGAGAGTACTATTCGGATATGTAATTCGCGCGATTGTTTCCGCCATCATTGCGCGATGTTCGCGCGTGCACGTAAATTCCCTTTGAACAGAAACTTTAATTAAGAAGATGGATGTAGAATAGAATTTAAATTGAGTTGGCGAATTTGCGAAATAGGGCGCAAAGGTTACGTGAGGGTGCGCGAAGCACAACGTAATAAATTACGAAAGTAGCCTCCGGCGGAAATCTCGATCTCCAGAATGGTATTTGTTCCAGAAGAAGAAATACAACATCCTCCGTAAAAAGCTATCCAGAAGTCGGACGAGTACTCGAAGAGGCAGAAAGTGCGAATTAATCGTGCGAGACGTCGTTCGGATGACATTTATTACCGGATAAAACCACGGAATCGAGAAATGGACGAGGCACGTGCGCCGAACGATAAAGAGAAAGCTCTGATAAAAAGGGGTTTTGCGCAAAGGAGGGGAGCGAGGGCAGGTGAGGCGAGGTAGAACCGAGCACGCGAGCTCCTAATCGTCTCGTCTCGAAGAGGCGCCGACGCCTTTCGTGCCAAGGTCGGCACCCCGAACCTCGGCATTGTTGTAACGAGCTCGTGCATTTGTTCGTGCGGACATGAGCCGCTCTTCCGCCGCGACAAAAAAAAAAGGAGGGAAAAAGAGAAAAGAAATCCTCCCGAACGGAGGACACTCAACCGACCCGGCGGTCGCTTCTCGACGCTCACGCACGCGACTTCCGCGAACTGGCTGTGGGACACGATTAAAAGTGTATCTCATTAATTACGCCGCGAGAACGAGTACGTTACACTCGCGGCGTTACAGTCGTGACGTTCCGAAAGATACCGATACTGGGATGCTTTCATTCGTATCCCGAGCGACACAAGTTAGTTCGTCAGCGGTTGCCTGCTGTAGATGTAACATCAGCCCGATGTTTGGTGCTGCTTGGGATGTAGGTCGTGATTCGTTTTTAACTCCAATGATTTTAGTAAGATATACCCGCAGATTTCAGACAGTTTCTCCCCGGCGTTTCGTCGATTGTACGAGAGCCTGACTGACGAGAAAGACTGGCGGTCGAAGAACGATATAGTAGATAAATGCGTATCTTTTACTTCATGCACCTCATTCGGCTCTCCATTGACAACGCAATCGATTTTTCAAACGTATTTTATCGCACTTGATACACAACGCGTATGATATGACAGTTGACGACCAATTTTCTGTTTGAAGCATAAATAATCGCTGCGTAATTATTTTCTGGAGCAGTTTCGGGCGTAAAAGCATCATCCGTCTGATCCGCCATCGTATCTTTTCAAGCCGGTCGGTTCACGCTGTAATTCAGGGCGAGATGCTATCCGCCGAGCCGTATTTCAAGCGTATTTCAACACGGCGGGTATTTATCGCGATCAGATTCGGCGGTTGAATTCCAGCATAGCATGGCGCGCGAACATGAAGGAGAGCCTCGGCGAATCGCCGGTTGGACGCGATACGATTTATTAAGATTCCCCGCGCGTGCCAATTCGCGGGGCTTACCGCTGTTAATAAGTCTCACGCGATATCACCCCGATGGAATAATAATCATGACGTTCGGCTTCAATGTCACGCGCGCGTTCCCGCCGTCGCCGTCGCCGTCGCCGTCGCCGTCGCCGTCACCGTGTCGTTGACACTCGCGGAAAACACGACGCACATCCGGACGAGCATCCGAATCGTGCTCGTGATTCGACCCGACGTCCGAAGTTCTTCACGATGAACGCATGCTCGCACGCACGCGAGAGCAGACACACACGGTTACTGACCGCTTCTGATCTTGACCGAAATCTGATCTTTAACGGTGTGTGGTAGCCAAGAAGCTGAAGTCCGTGAAGATTTCGCTCAAAACCATGACCGTGGTCGCTTACGCCGCGAAGTGCTCTCCCGAGACACTGCAAGGAATCAATTCAGTCGATTCTTTGACGGTCGCCTTTTATCCTCTGCCATCGTTTGCGGATTTCATCGCCGAGTCTCCGGTCCATGTAACGCGTTTTCACTCAGAACTCACGTTTAATTTCCATGATACAGCGAGTTCCGGATTTGCCTCTCGGGCTGGAGCCGTGTCCTTTTTTTATATGAATTTGTTTCCAACGTTTACTATATATATCTCATGCAATATCGGGTTACTCCTCTCTCTCTCTCTCTCTCTCTCTCTCTCTCTCTCTCTCTCTCTCTCTCTCTCTCTCTCTCTCTCTCTCTCTCTCTCTCTCTCTCTCTCTCGTGTGAAATGAACTGAAACTTCGAGAACAAATCCTCCGAAACGCACGGCTCCGAGTCGCGAGCTAAATCCTGCGTCCCTTCCCGCCGCGAACATTTTGAAAATCAAATATATTTGACTTTCGAAAATAATTCGTTCCTTATCGAATAATTTGATGAAAAGGATAATTATCAGTTGGACACGAACTAATGCGGACGAGAGAGCAAGAAAAGACGAGAGAAGAGGTCGAAGGATATATCGAAGTTTCGCCGATAAATATTTACAATAACGGACCACCCTCCCACTTGGTCTTGATGTTGACATATATTATAGAACTAATCCTTCTGAGCAATAATCGAAAGGTTTTAGCCGTCGCTCATTGGTTATTAAAAAGTTATTCAGAAAGAAAGTGTAATGAATATGATGTAATTTTCTGATACTAAATATATACAGATATTACAGTTTCGTATAGTCGTATCGTTCGGTAAGCGTAAGTTGTTTTGTTTACATTTCTTACCGGAATGAAATAAGCTGTTGTTGACATTAGACCTACGAAACGTAATTGCAAGGAATAATGAGCCAGTGTACGACACGTTTCCATACAGTTAACGTTCGACTGCTGAAAAATGAATTTCTATGAATTTCTCGCTTTAACGACGAGACGTGTCGAATTATTAACTGTATCACTTGTGCTCAAAAAATGTTATACGTGAAAAAGTAAAGTGTCCACGTTGCGAAAATGTTGTTCCATTTAATAGAGAAGAATCATTAATGATTCATTGTCCACAACATTATTATAAACAAATTTAAGGTCGTAAACGGAAAAGATTAATTTGTAATTTTAAAATAAGTATTTTAAGTGGGATTTGGTTTTCACACAAGCAAATTTAGACGTTGCTGTAGCTTGTCGATTGATCTGCTATG